AGAGCTGAAATTTGGTATACATATGTATTTTGGCGTGTAGATTACAGGAAAAATATAGCGAATCTCATAGGAATTAATTATCATAGCGTTGTCAAGGAAAAACCATGAATTTTTACGAAAAATCCCTAAAAATGACTATGTACCCCCCCCCCCTGGTTGCCACATCTTTTTACATAGAGAGCTCAAATTTGGTACACTTAGGTATTTTTACGTGAAAATTACAGGAAAAATATAGCGAACATGATTCGGATTAATTTACATAGCGTTGTCAAGGAAAAATCAAAAATTTTGAAAAAAAGCGATTAATCCTCCTAGCGCACACAATATTTGACGAAGGCAGTTCATATTTGGTATACTTACGTATTTTTGCGTGTAGATTACAGGAAAAATATAGCGAGCACAATTGGAGTTGATGTTCATATTGTTTTTAAGGAAAACTCATATTTTTAGAAAAAATCATGGATTTTTCGAATAAAAAAAGAAGAAAATTTTATCCTAAGGGATTCAAATTTATACATTTTTACGTATTTTTACGTGTAGATTACAAAAAAATATAGCGAGAACGATTAGAGTTGATTATCATAGAGTTTTTAAGAAAAAACTGATAATTTTTTATAAAAATCATGAATTTTCTTCAAAAAACAAAGAAAATATTATCTAATGGGCTTCAAACTTATACATTTTTATGTATTTTTACGTATAGATTACAAAAAAAATATAGTGAGCATGATTGGAGTTGATAATCATAGCGTTTTTAAGGAAAAACTGATAATTTTCGTTATATGTGACTATGTGTCTATCTATGTGTTTTTATGCTCACATTACAGGAAAAATTAAGCAAAATTGGAATTTTTCCACATGCCTTCACACTTTAACCCCTTAAATTTTAGGTTTAAGGGTACGGAACCCTCAGTTTTAATTCGAGTGTAACTCGCACTTGTCCGATTTTTTAGATAGAATGTTTTCCTGGAAAATGAAAAAATCCCTTACAAAGTCAAATAAAATTAAACAGCATGTCTCCATTATTTTTTGTACCACATTTTACCTTCAAACAGTTGTTAAGAAAAGTATAGGGGAGGATGGGGTAAGGATAGTTAGGTAAGACATTTTTGGATCTAGTAGCTAAAATTCAACAGGCATCGGAAAAAAAATAGTATCGTTGGAAAGCCTGGTTATTTAGCTAGAATTTTGTAATACATTATTTTGCTGTGGATTGCAATGCCTTCGAGATATTAGCGGAAAATTAAAAAAAAAATTTAACTATCCTTTGCCCTCTATTGGGGCAAGGATAGTTATCAAAATTCTTTTTACGAAAAATAATCAAAAAAAGACATTAAATTTGGGGTTTTTTTAATTTCATTGGATATAAGCACCTCAAAACACTTCAAAGCACTACCAAAAAATTTTTTTGGACATAAATAAATATTTAAATCAGTTAATATCTGAAACAGTGTTTTAAACAGAATTGAGACATTTTAGAAAAAACAGGATTTTCACAAATAAACACGTAGCTTCCACAAATGATATCGCATCAAGGTCAAATTTTTCTTGACGTCTTTTGGTGATAATACAAGTATATATGATGAATGGTGCCCTTTTTGAACAAGCCGTTTATGCAATAGAGCCACTAACTATCTTTGCCCCTTAACTATCCTTGCCCCATCCTCCCCTAGAGCAAATCTCTATTATTTTTTTAATGTAAAATTTTATTATTATATAATTATGTTAAAAAAAATGTCTTAATGAGTGGATCATTTCGAAATTTTTTATAAATTGAAAGTCGAAATGCTATGGTAATGCAATTACCATAGCTACGGTGCCTTTTTATATGTGTATAACCTATTACATGCTAATATATTTTTAATATTATATTTTTCTAATTTTAAATATTTTTTTTTATTCCTAATATTTCAGATTAAAGGACAGAAAAAAGGATGAGCTGAATAAGGTGCATTGGAAGACATGGTTCAGAAAAGGCAATGCTGACATCGCTCCTCTGAGAAAATCCGTGATCGGCAAGTAACCATGACACTAATAATATTAATTTCTATTGAAATAATTAATTTTTTTTTTTTGGTCTAATATTTTCAAAAACTTATTTTGATTACAGTAGAAGTAGAAAAAACGATTTGACATTGAAAATTAATTACTTTTAAAAAATTCTAAGTGACCCGTTACACAGTGGTACGAATTGCGAATCTAGCTGGACAAAATTCAAAATTTTTGTGTCTTCAAAAAATATAAATACTATAGGAATAGTATGTTTAGTTGTTCTACATTAACGTATAAATTTTAGTTTCTGTGAAAAAAAATATTTTTCATTTAAAAACAATTTAAACATTGCCATTTGCGGCATCTTTGTTTTCGTGAAAAATTACCGTCAATACATATCTTATAAATTATTTAATTATGCAATTCGCTTGAAACTAATAAAGCAAAATACTTTTGCAGAGTAAACTAGAGGTATTATCCTGTGTGTAAAACATATTTTAAACATTTTCACTTAATATTTTCAGTATCTATGATCGTTATATACATAGGAATAAATTATATAATTTAAAATTCATTTTCTTTACTTCGAAGGACCAGAACTTCTGGGGCCTGTGCTGGCCCGTTGTAAAACTATTTTTGATGTATAGGGTACTTATTATTGTATTAGATTATGCTTTATATGCAACCGCCTTTAGCCACCTTTTCTTAAATTTTTATTTTGAACTTCCGGGTGATGGATATGCCTTAAGTATTAAATATCGTTCGAACGACTGCAATATCTACTGACTCAAATGTTCTGATACTTGGTACTCATGGGTATTTTTAGTCGCTGATTATGAATCTGCAGTCAATTTTTAAAATTTCAAAATGGCGGATCCAAAATGGCGGACAACTTTTTTAAAAAATCGGTCAATTTCAATGAAACTTGGTATCTATGAGTTTTTAGGGTCGCTGATTACGAATTTGAAGTGAATTTTTAAAAATTCAAAATGGCGGCACTAATATGGTGGATGATTTTATAAAAAAATGTTAAATTTATATGAAACTCGATATCTATGGCTTTTGGGGTCGATGATTAAGAATTTAATGTTATTTTATAAAAGGCACTAATTTTAGTTTTTCAAAAATGACTTCAAATTCTTAATCAGAAATCCTAAAAACCTCTAAAATATCAGGACTAATAAAAATCAATCAATTTAAATGAAAATTGTTTGCTAAATTAGATCCGCCATTTTTAATTTTTAAAAGCCAACATCAAATTCGTAACCAGCGACCAAAAATACCCCTTGGTATTGAGCTTACGGAGATCGAATAATTTTTTTAAAAAAAGTCCGCCATATTGGATCCGCCATTTTGAATTTTTAAAAACCGACATTAAATTCGTAATCAGCGACTCCAAAAACCTCTACATAATGAGTTTTATGGAGATCAAACGAATTTTAAAAAAAAGTCCGCCATATTGGATCCACCATTTTGAATTTTTTAAAACTGACGTCAAATTCGTAACAGCAACCCTGAAAGCCCCTAGATACCAAGTGTCATAAAAATCCAATCCAAACATTTTGAGCTAGGATTTTTGTCTAGCTAGATTGGCTATTCGAACCACTGTGCGTTATCGCTATTTTTCTAAACTTAGAAGAATTGAATAGTAAATTATTATAATGATAGTATTTTAATTAATTGATTAATCACTGTTTAATAGAAGCCGCGTTTTTTTTTTCATTTTGTTGGATTTTGTTATTTTGAAACGCATCTTATAAATAGAATGTGCGTAAATGCAGCTCGCAGGTGCATATCATGTTGAAAAGGGGGAAGAATAAAAAAAAGTTAAAATGCTCTTTAATACACGCACTTGTGGGCACGCGCGTGCCTTCTATATACTGTGTACGTGTGATGTACATGACCGTGAATTTCAAGTGGCTGAGATATAGTCCCTGAGGATATTCGTACAGGCACCCCTTTCCCGACTTCTGATTTTCGTTTTTTGAACATGTCGTGGCGTTCATCTCTTTGTGTCATAAAGTATATTAATAAACTCAAAAGCAAATGCTTTAAAGACAAAATTTTACCTTAAAAAACTATTGTTTTTTTGATTTTTAAGTCATATTTTACGAATATTTTATAATTTCTTACAAATGTTAGAATAAAAAACAATGGAAAATATTTTTAGTTATATTACACCCAGAGAAAAGATATTTGTCTTAGAGCCAAATAAATATTTATTTATGACAAATACAATTTATTTTTATTTACGCCAAATAAATGGGCTTGTTGGCTCATGAGACAATAATATACGTTTATTTAACTCAAATATGTATATTATATATTTGGTTTCAAATAAAACATTTCTCTGAATATAGATACATAATTTTTTAAATACTAAGTAATTAAATTAAAAATTATTTTTTGGTATAACATCACACTAATTTAAAAGTATCAAATTGATATCAAAAATATCAAATCGATATAAAAATTTGTATCAATTTGATAATTTTAAATTAGTGTGATTACAAAAGAAAAAATTAAAAAATAAACAAAAGTATGTGCTAGGCTTGTGAGATTTCGTATGTATTATTAGAATGAGGAACTAAATTTTTAAAATATTTCGATGACAAACAGGAAGGCTGTGTTTCTATTTTCAACTTCAAAGGATATTTAAAATTTACGAAATGTCAGTTGTATGAAATAATTAATTAAAATTGCAAATCACTGCGAAATTTCATATTTTTGAAAGAAAATTTCAATGAAAGAGATCTACTTTTGTGAAACTAAAAATATGCTAAAAAGAATAAAAAATAGATATAGGTAGATATATAATTAGGTAATTATATATTAATTATTAGTCTGTTTATAATAAATAATTTCCTTTACACTATAAGAGCAAAATATTTGGAATTTCAATTATTGTTTCTAAAAATAGGTAAAAAAAAGTATAAACATTAATTATTTCAAATTCAATTGAATTAAATTCAAAGTGAAATAAAAATTTATTTTGAAAATTATTTACATTATATTCCCGTTTTACTTTTAATCCAATCACGAAAAAAGAGAATATCAGTATAAATTCCAGGAAGTCCAATGGTTCCACAAGAAATACCCCAAGAAATTATTCCAATATCCCGATTATCCGAGTTAACTAATGGACCACCTGAGTCACCCTGGAAAAAAGTAATTAACTAAATAAATTTTAATTTAAAATTAAAATTTTTTAAATAATTTTAAAGTTGATTATTTAATTTATTTTGACAACAAAAATTATTATTTTTCATACTTGACATTTATCCTGAATTACTGTTCCATCATTAACTCCATAACATATTTCTCCCAATCTCAATTTTATTCCATTTTCAAGGTATTTCCTTCTACAAGTTTCAGTATTTATCTTTGGCAAGTTGACGAATCTTAATGTCGCCGAACTTGGACCACCTGGCTGTAAATTACACACCCAAAGAAATTTTCCATTAATTTTTAAATATACAAGTATAATTTATTTGAATTAAATAAAAAAATTTGGTCCGTATAAAATCGTTTCTAAATTAAAGTCTGTTAAAATTTTTCTTTTATTAATAATTAATGTTGATATAAAAATTTGTTCTTTTTTTGAAAATTAAATGATGTAATTGTGTGATTTGATAAAAAAAAAGTTTCATTTTTACTTCAATGTCTCCCCATCCTGTGATTGTAGCAAAGTCAGTTTTTAAAGGTTGACCCCTTTCGGGCAATTTCACTGGTTGTATAACATTATTATAATTAAAAGGTGGACTGAATTTAATAACAGCAATATCGGCTACAATATTTGATTGAACTTTTATGCCTTCATAAAGTTCATGTCGTATGACTTTAATTATATTGCGTATTTCAGCAGTATTTGATAAAGCTTTTATATCAGTGGTACCAGCAATTACTCGTATTTTATTGAAATCTGTATCCGGGCTTAAAAATTAATAATTTTAATTAGTATTTAATTAAAAATTCTCTGACGTCAAAAAAATAAAAAATAATTTCAATAATTTGCAAAACCGTACTTATCAAAGCAATGTGCAGCTGTAATTCCCCATTCTTTGCCAATAATTGCAGCACTACAGACACTTCTTCGGTGTCCAGTTTTTCTACCTATTTGAAGACGTAACTGAAAAATTGTAATGTTAAATCTTCTTTTTTCTGAGTATACCTCTGATTATTTTTCAAAAAGAAACTTATTATCTATTTATAAGTTTTAAAAATTTACTGATTATTTCCAAATTAATCTTACCATATATGGAAATTTTTCGATTGATGTTTCATCTCCTCCTATTATTCTATTTTGACTCAATATAACTTGACATTTCACTAGTATTAATTATTTTAAAAAAACATGTAAATAATTAATTTTAATTCATAAATACATTTGTAATTACTAGCTTATAATTAATTTTAAAGTATATGATTTTTAATTGAAGATATTAAGATAATATTTTGAAAACAATAATTACATCATTTTTTTGTATTTATATTTTTGTAAATTTAACTTGTATAATTTTTATTGTTTGCATTATGTAATTTTTCCTCTTTTAAGAAAAAATTGTAATATTAACAGTGAAAAATGCAATAACAAAATTTATCAAACAAATAATAATATTTATTGTTTACATGGTAAATATTCTTTACAATAATAATTTAAATACAAAAAAATATTCTTAACTCACATGCAAATAGGAAATTTAACAAAAGACAAATTTTTCGAAAAGTGAAGTTCATTGCAAATGATTCACTATTATTCTGCGCTCGATAGATTATTAACAACAAATGTTAAAAGGAAAGCAATTTTCATAACAATAAAAGAGCGTGGAAGCAATGTTCTCGAGGTTCATTACACGATGTTTAAATAATTTGTGTTTTATGTGTAATCAAGTGTGTATCTTTTTATAAGCCTTATCTTTTATATAAAGAAAACACGCAATCTGGGTATAAAAAAAGGATAAAACAAAGAAATTATAGTTTTCCTGTTCTTTGTTTTTTCAAAAACTATCCAAAAATGCAAAGTCAAAAATTTAACATGAATTAAAAAAATTCATTTTAAAATACATATTTTAATTCACAAAATAGTAGGAAGATAATTTAGAATATATATTCTTGTTTTAAGAGTAGGATATATTAAATTTAAGAATATATTACAATTAAATTTTTTAATTATCATTAAATTTTTTAATTATCATCAAATTTTTAAAATTATAATCCTGTTTTTTGCTTGATCCAGTCGCGGAAATAACGAACATCCGTATAAACTCCAGGAATTCCTGATGTTCCACAATAAATACCCCATGATACGATTCCAAGTTGTACTCTGTCCGAATTAACAAGTGGACCTCCTGAATCGCCCTAAAAAAAGATATTCAATTTTTAATGTTCAATCCATTTATTTTTTACAAATCAAATTTTTAAATGTGTGCTAAACTCAGAAATTTTTTAAATTCATTAATCACATCTACAAAACGCTTTTGAAAAAATTTCAAAAATAGAGTTATATAAATAACGTCATAAATCTTGAAAGTTTTATTAAGGAGGTACCCCTTCTGCATTGCGAGTCAAAACAATGTCCATTTAAGTTTTTATTTGAATCACATAGTGCTAATGCAACGCTTGGCAACACTGTATTTGTTTCTCCCCCGTTTTACTTCGTGTCGACTGCAAATGTTTTAATTATGTCGGAATTAAATTTATTAGCAGAAAATTCTGTGAAAACACCAAATATTTTTTTTTCTTATTTCACCTAACAGTTCATTTTTTTAAGACATCAATAAATTTTGCGGTTCTTGTTAACATTTTTTAAATTTTGTTTTATTAAATTTTTTAATTTATCATTTATTATTTGCAAATTTATTTAATATGTTTAATTAGTAATTAATGTATAATAAAATTACTAATTAATTACTAATTAATTTTAGACATGCTTAAAAATTTTTAATGATTTTATTATTAAAATAATTGTTATTGATAAAAGTAAACTTTTTCTCAAAATTTTCTATTGAAAATTCTATTGTACTTGTATTATTATATTAAATTTATAAATAAGAAATGTAATTAAATTATTTTTGACAAAAATTGTTATTAAAAATATGATATGTAGTATTAGATACGATCTATGTTACTTTCGAAATTTCAAATTTCGCGCTTCTTGCTTACCCTAACCTTTAAAGGCGCTCTAAGAAGCAACGTTGCCAAGCGTTGTGCTTAGTAACTGCTGATTAATAAAAAAGGGTGTTTTTTTATAAAGAATAATTAATTTTGAGTCTCACAGGTAAGGTATGATCATTTTTTTTGAAATTATCTAATCATTGGTTGTTTAACTTTAACTGTAAAAAGTTTTATTAATATCTCTCTGTTATATATGTCACAATTAAATTTCAAAGATCATGAAAATGCGTTTTCTCATAAGACACCATGTAAAATGTGAAAAAATAAAATTGCTTATAACTTTTGTCAGAGTCAACTTCGACCTCTAAAAATTTAACTACATTTTTTTCAAACTAATATCTATAAGTGTGCTAACTTTCATTAAAAACTCTCTGTGAATTCTAAAGTCGGGGGTTCTTCCTTAATTAATAATTGAATTAAAAAAAGTCTCAAAATTAAAAACCAGTGAATTGACCTTATAGAGAATTTATTTTACTTTAATTACCTACTGATAAAAAGGAAAGTGGAAAATAATGTATTTTTTCTTACTTGACATTTATCGTGAACAGTAGTTGCATTAAAATATCCATAACATATTTCTCCCGGTTTCAGTACAATTTGTGTTCTCATAAGTAATTCTTTTTTACATTTTTCTCTATCCACTTTTGGCAGGGTAACATAAAGTAATTTATCAGAACTTGGCCCACCAACCTTTAAATTAAAAATAATATTCTCATTCATAATCAATATATCAGTTTTGTAATGGTTTCAGTGAAAAATAAATACTTAAATTAAAACTTATTATTTTCAGAATTATTTTTTTGTATTTTCTCATTATAATTGAATCGTGAATTTCGAAAAAGGCTCAACTTGAAAAAGTAAAAATGACTACTCTTACGGTTTTCACAAGTTGAGCCCTTTTCTAAATTCACGATTCAATTAAAGGATATAGTAAAACAATAAATTCGTTATACTTTAATATTCCCCCATCCTGAAACTGAAGCATAATCAGTTTTTGGAGGATGCGACTTGCTTGGCAATTTGGCCGGTTTTACATCGTCATTGAACGTCAAAGGTGGATCAAATTTAATGAGAGCAATATCGGCTGTAATATTTATACCACTTGCCCCGACACCTTTAAAAAGTTCATGAACAATAACTTTTGATACTTTATTTTGAATTGAATTATACGTTGGATTATTCAGGTCAGCAGTACCACCAATTACAAATATTTTATCATAATCTGTGTCAGGACTGAAATACATTTTAATATATTTGATTATCATATTTTATATTCTACACGCAAAAAAATTTTTCATATAATGTATTTGAAATAATACAAATAAAGCAAAATAGAATAAGAAAATTTTTATAAAAAAAAATCTCACTTAGAGAAGCAATGTGCAGCTGTGAGTCCCCAATCTTTGCTAATTATTGAAGCACCGCAGGGACCAGCTAAATTAGTAGATTTTCTTCCTATTTGCATGTATAGCTGAAAATTTTTGGCGAAAAAGATAAGTTTTAGTGAAAAATAACTAAAAATTATTAGAAATTTTCTATATAAATTATTATATATTATATTATATTATATTATATTATATAATTCTATATAAATTTTCTAATATATAATATAATATAATATGTAAAATAATATAAGTAAATTTACAGTTTTAAAATTAAGTTCAACGTCAATATTTTAACCTCAGATCACCTGCAAGAGGTTTTGTGTATTGCCAAGCTTTTATCTCGACAATTGGCAGCAAGATAAAAAAAGTTATCGCTCAATGCAGAAAAACTTGAAAATCAAAGTTAAACTGTTTCAGTAATTTTGTCTCGCATTTGAAAAAAAACAAACTTAAAAATCATACCAAATTTTTTTCTTATTTCTTATGACTCCCATAACAGAAATTTACTTGAATTTTTGATTTTTATCAATTTGGTTAATAATGACAAGCTGTCCCCATTTACCCTGAGTTTTCAAATTTTTCAGGTAAATGGGGACAACTTGTCATTATTAACCAAATTGACAAAAATCAAAAATTCAAGTGAATTTCTGTTATGGGAGTCAGAAGGAATAAGAAAAAAATTTGGTATGATTTTTAAGTCTGTTTTTTTTCAAATGCGAGACAAAATACTGAAATAAAAAAAAATTAAAAAAGTTTCAATTGGTTCAACTATTATATATCTACTACAAATTTTTTTTCAAGTTTTTTCATCCCTTAATACAGTAATATACTTAAGGAAACTTTTTTCTTAAAACTTCCTTAGAAACTATGCTGTTCCCATTTAACCCGAATTTTATGAAATTTCCTAAATTTTGGGGAAAATGGGGACAGTCAGTTTCATGAGTTTAAAGCTTATCTAAATTTTTTTCTGCTGCATAAAATTAATCCTGGGAATGTAAATAACAACTTAAAAAAATATAAACCCGCAAATATTACCTTTTAAAGAAAGAAACTTACGTAATTTGTAAAAAATAGCGATTTTGTCTCCATTTACCCCAACTGACCTTATCTATATTTATAATATTTTTTTAAAATTATTAATTTAATCTTACCATATAAGGAAATTTCTTCATTGTGCCTTCACTTCCCCCTATTATCCTATTCTGAGCCAATATACATTGATATTTCACTGGCAATTTTAATCAAACAAAAATATAAATTACAGATTAGATTATTTTTTATTTTATTAATATCTATATTATTATATTATATTTTATTAATATGTACCTACTTATATTTCCTTAACTAAAATTATATATTTAATTAAATACTAAAATTTGAATTACTAATTATATTTTCTGAGTAGTGAAAAAAAGAAATAATTTACAAAAATTTTTAAAAAATTAGGTAGTTAAAAGTATTTTTTTTCTTCGTTTTTTATAATAAATAAAAAAATTTATATTATTAATTATTATATATACAAGATTAATAAATTATTTAAAGGAGTTGAATTAATTTTTATTACCAATTGACAATATAAAATATAAAATATAAAATATAATTTAAACTCACATCCCAGAAGGAAAATTGTCAAAAGACATGCTTTTCGAAATATTAAGTTCATTGTATATAATAATGAAACTTTAATACTCTGCTTCCAATAGTCTATTGTGAAAAAATATTAAGGAAAATAGGTTTTTATAACAAAAGACCAAAAACGGGTTCCTCAAGGTTCATTCTATAATATTTAAATAATATACAATCAAGTGCAATTTTTGCTTATCCTTTTTTAAATAAAAGCACGCTATGTTCCATAAAAAGATAAGACAAAAAGTAAAACAAGTTTTAGGAGTAAATTATTTTTCCTGTTTTTACATTTTTAAAAATTATAAGCAATATATTAGATGAAGTAGAAAAAAATTAAAATTAATAAATTTTAATTAAATGAGAATAGTGTATGTATATTAAATAATTTTATTATTTAATTATTGTCTCTCAAAATATTTATCAATTTAATATGCATTAAAAATTAATTAATTTAAATATAAATTTAAAAACTTGAAAATTTCTATATAATTATATTCCTGTTTTTTCTTTTATCCAATCGCGATAATAGAGAACGTCAGTGTAAACCCCAGGATATCCAAGTCTTCCACATTGAACACCCCATGACACAATTCCAATTTCTATTCCATCTGAATTAACAAGTGGGCCACCAGAATCTCCCTAAAAATTTATTAAATTGCAATTAATTTATTTTAATTTATATTAATAGGATAAAATAAATATATTGTCTTTTTCTTACTGAACATTTGTCACCGCGGGTACCATTATTAAAACCATAACAAATTTCTCCCTCTTTCCTCATTTTAGCCATATTATTTTTACGATAATATTCTTTGCATTTATTTATATCATATTTTGGTAGAGTAATATACATTAATTTATCAGATGGATCTCCAAGCCATGACTGTAAATTGAAAAATTATCACTAGGTTGAGAATTTATTAATTCAGTTAATATTTTTGTACTAATGAAAGTGGTAACAGAGTGATTTGAATTTTTTTTTTATAGTTTATTACAAAAATTAACTTCTTACTCCAGTATTTCCCCATCCTGAAACTGTAGCCAAGTCGGTTTTTAACGGTTGTCCCTTTTCTGGCAACTTGATTGGTTGTATTGCATCATTATATTTCAAAGCTGGACTGATCTTAATGACAGCTATATCACCCGTTACATCCAAACTATCTTTATCAAAATTTAGACCTTTGTATTTTTCATGTCCAATAACTTGAACTATTTTATGTTGCGATGCAGTTTTTGAAAATGGTCTTAAACTGGCACTCCCAGCAACTGCATACATCCTACTAGGATTGATGAAATCACTGAAACATTTTTTTTTCCAAAAATAAAATCACAAACACGAATTGTAAATCGTTAAAAAAAAGGAATATAATTTTTAATTAACAAAGGGGGATCTATTGGTCAAAAAATTCAATTTATTTTTGAGATTCTTTGGAGCAGAAAAAATTGATTTATTTGACTTAATTTTTGAATCATACTTATCCTTAAAACAATGATAGGCTGTAAGTCCCCATTCTTTTCCAATAATTGATGCACCACAAGACACTGGTCCTTCATAATGTTTTGGCATCATTCTGAGATATAGCTGAAAATTGTAAGTAAATTAATGAAATTTATTGAATTTATAATTTTCAAAAAAAAAAAAAAAAAAATGCTTTTTATATAGTGAAAGTAATTTTAATGATAATTATATTTTAAATAAATTTTACCATATATGGAAATTTTTCAATCGAAGTTTCCTTTCCGCCTATTATTATCGGTTTTTGCGCGAATATAAATTGATATTTCACTGAAATTTATTATTGAATAACAAAAGCATATTAAAAATTATAGAACAGAGATAAAATTATTTACTAAAATTCTAAAAATACAGTCAAATTATAGAAATGTTTTAAACTTACATCTTAAAAGCAGAATTAATAAAAGATACATTTTTCGAAAAAAAAAGTTCATTATAATGTGCAACTCTAAATACAAATATTTTACTTTAAACCAAAACTACTTTTAACGAATATTAAGGACAATTCTTTATATAGAAAAATAGTCTTTATAGTCAGTGTTCATTATGCGTTATTAAAATAATCGATGCTTTTAACTGTGATAATGAAATTGATTATATTCAATTGCTTTCAAATTTATTTTTTATAAAAGCAATACAATGTCCCTAAAAGATAACAAAAAAATAAGTGAAATATATTTAGGAAAGTATTTCTTCTCATGTTTATTTTCATTTTGAAAGATTTTTATTATTAAATTTAACGGTTGCCATGGTAATGTTTGTCATGGGACCACGAAACCCTAAAAATAGGTATGTAAGTAATTTAAAAGTAAATAAAAATTCTTATTACATAAAGAAAATTTTTATTTTTCTCTGTTTTTGATTTTAAAATAATTTAACAACATTTTAACAATTTTAATAACCTGCCCTATATTAACGAAAACATAAACATATATATATTTTAATACAATAGAATAATTTGAAATTTATATTCCTGTTCTTTGCCTTATCCAATCGCGGAAATAAATAACGTCAGTGTAAACACCAGGATATCCTTTCGTTCCACATTCGACTCCCCAAGAAACAATTCCAAGTTCTACTCTATCCGAATTAACAAGTGGACCGCCAGAATCACCCTGAAAAGAATTAATTTAAAAATATAATTTTTTATCAGTTGATTAATTATAATTATTTAAGTGAAAATAATGTTTTTTTTTTATTACTTCACATGAATCGTAAGTAACTGTTTGATTGTGAAATCCATAACAAACTTCTCCTTCTTTCATTATTACGCCAACACTACGGTACAGTGCTTTGCAATTTTCTGTGTTCATTTTCGGTACTCTTGCGCCTAGCAGTCTACTAGAACCTGGTCCATCTGGCTGCAAAATTAATAATATTTGCAATTAATTCTTGAAGAAACTAAATGTTCTTATGAGTTAAAAGAAGCTAAAAATTTTACTATGCTCCCAAGAAGCACGTAATATAACCTCAATATCAAGGTAATATTACATGTAAGATTCGTAATATAACGTTGTAATATTACAGTAATCTTACAGTGATCTTAAAATGTCCGCCTCAAGGTAATATTACACGTAATGTTACTGTAATATTACGCGCTAATATTAAGGTAATATTACAGTAATATTGCAGTAATATTATACCGTAATATTAAGGTAATATTACAAGAGAATATTACAGTAATATTATGGGAACATTTCTTTACGAAAAAAATCTACCCATCCAGGGAATCGAACCCCGAACTCAAAGCACACGAGTCCAGAGTTTTGCCAACAAGCCAAATTGACTTATAATATATTTACGTTTTTATGCTTTATGAATAACTCAAATCAGTCTGTAATATTACTGTAATATTACTGTAATATTACCGTTAATATTACAGTAATATTCCCGGTAATATTACCTTGAGGCGGACATTTTAAGATCACTGTAAGATTACTGTAATATTACAACGTTATATTACGAATCTCACGTGTAATATTACCTTGATATTGATGTTATATTACGTGCTTCTTGGGCTTCTACGAAATTAAATTTTTTTCAAGATTAATCAAACTATCCGGTAGTGACTACCGGTAGTGACTAGTGACTACCGGTAGTCATTACCGCTCCCGCTACAGGAATATTCACTACCGGTAATTTTTTCGTTAGTACCGGTAGTCCCGGAAAAATTACCGGTAGTCTAGGAAAAATTACCAGTAGAGACTACCGGTAGTGAAAATATTCCGGTAGCGGGAGCGGTAATGACTACCGGTAGTCACTACCGGGAACTTTTCCACCTGGGTAAAAATACTTTTTTCCAAAAAAAATTCTGTTGTCATTAATAGGTTTTTAGGCATATTTTGACATAATTTATAATAATTTCTTACTCTAATTTTACCCCATCCTGAAACTGTAGCAAAATCCGTGTTGCCTTGCCCTCTTTGTGGTAACTTGACTGGTTGAATAAAGTTATTGTAATTGAAAGGTGGATTGACTTTGAATACAGCAATATCCCCTCCAATTTTCCTATTTTTTTCGTTAATTTTATAATTTTCATTTCGAATAACCATGACCACTTTATGTTGTTCTGCAGTTCTTTCCAAATTTTTTAAATCGGAAGTACCAGCAATTACACTTATTTTACCGTAATCTGTTTCTGGACTGGAGCAAATTTTTTCAACAAAAAAATCAGAACTTAGGATAATTTTTAATTTTTAAAATATCAATGTATTTTTAAATTTTGAGACATAAAAAAACTAAAAAAGAAATATCATTTACAGGACAAAAAATATGTCAAATTAAATTATAAAAAATCTCACCTATCAAAACAATGTGCTGCTGTAAGTCCCCATTCGTTGCTAATTATTGAAGCATCGCAAGCACTTACCACGTTACCAGTTTTTCTCCCTACTTGGAGGTAGAGCTGAAAATTTGTGATAAATATATCTTGTATTACATTTTTTTCTTTATTTTATTTATATTTGCTCTGACTTTATTAACTATTTGAAATCTTATGCTATATTTTTATTATTTATTATTATCTATTATTATACTTTTATTACTGTATTAATTATAAATTAATATTACCATAAATGGAAATCTGGTTTCACTTCCTCCTACTATCCTATTTTGAGCCAATACATTTTGATATTTTACTGGAATTTATTATTGTTGAAACAAAAAATGTAAAATAATAAATTATGAATCAGATAATTATTTTTATTAGGTATTTACATTAAAATAATTATAACTAAGTGTAAGTAATTCCTCAACGTTTTCAAACAGTTTTTCAAAAAATTAGATACTGTTAGAATATTTAGAAATTCCAAACATTTTCAATAATATGATGAAATGCATTTTTGTTGTTTTTTTAATATTATTATTATTATTTGTTTGAAAATATACCAATAATGAAAATTATTTACTATACATAATATTTAATGACAAAAAAAATATACTCAACTTACATCCCAAAAAAAAAATTGATAATAGACAAGCTTTTCCAAAGAGGAAGTTCATGGTAAAATTGAAACTCGAATACTTTGTGTCCAATTGTCGACTATAAATAAATATTACAGGAAATCCTTTTTATACCAAAAGATTGGAACTCGTGAACCCAAGTTACAATATATGATAATAAATAATATAATTATTGAACAGTATACAAACATGTGCAGTTTGCTTATCATTTATAAAGTCATATACAATATCCGTCATAGATAAATACAATACAATGTTAGAATTAAATGTTATTTCATGTTTAATTTTTGAAAAATAAGATATACAAATTTCAATGAGGAAAAAAAATTAAAATGAATTCATGAATTTTTTATTTATTTTTTTTTTCGAAATGCATTACAAGTTTTAGCGATGAACATTTAAATTATTTCCTGTTTAGTACAGCTGTGTGACAATGGAGAACATTAGTGTAAATTTCAGAATTTAATTTACTATTGTATCACATATTGAGACAGTTCACAAAATTAATCCAATTTGTTTTCCATTTAAATCGACAATATATGTAGACCACCAGAATCGTCTTTAAAGAAAAAATTAAAATTGCAATCTATTTGACGCAATTAGCCCTAAAAAAGCCACACAATCTGGTAAAATATTATAAACATAGGTTGTCAAATTTTTTATTTCAACAGACACAACATAAGTTCAAAAATTTTAACTAGTCCTTTAAATTGAATTAGTTAAATTTTACTTAATAAAAATTGGTGAAAAAATTTGATTTCAAACAATTCAAATTTAGAGAGTTATTAAATTTTAATAACAATTTTTTTTCTAAAAGGTATCTCAAGTTTAATGCAAATTAAAAGTGAATATGTATATTAAATTATTATTCTAAATTAATTAAAAGAATTAAATATATATATAAATTTTAGTCTAAATTTTTTCTCTCTATTGACAAATATTATTTTTAAAAATAATGTAGTTTAAAAATGACAATTTTAAAATTAAATTCCTGTTGTTTCTTTGATCCAATCGCGGAAATACAGAATATCAGTATAAACTCCAGGATATCCTTTCGTTCCACATTTGACACCCCACGATACCAATCCAAGTTCTACTCCGTCCAAATTTATAAGTGGTCCACCAGAATCACCCTGAAAAAAAGAATTGAATTATTTAACTCTGCTAGAAATTACCCTACTAGGGCCCCAGTAGGGAATGAAACACCACACTTGATCAGGGCCAAATCAGGGTGAGCAGAAAATGTGAATTTCCTAATCTGGGTCACATCAGGTGCGGCGTTTCATTCCCTAATAGGGCAGTCTGATCTGGCCCCAATCTGGATCCTGGCAAAATTTCTGCACGGGAAGATTTTTTTGACCCTTATATCAATGTTAGAATTTCTTTGATTTAATGCATAAATTTCTTTCATTCAAATTCAAAGAAAATTTCTTTGGAAACTAAATTGAGTTTTTTTTTTGTTTCAAAGAAAATTTTATTTTTAACGAAAGAAAACAAATGAAAGAAATTGGTGTCTTTAAATCAAAGAAATCTTTTCTCTGGGTGTGGTTTACTATTTTAATTTCTATAAGAATTTTTATTTTAAAAATTAAAAAACAAAACTTCATTTTTAATTTTTTTTCCTGTTTATTAATTATTTAATTAAAACTGATATTTTTATTCTTACTTGACACTTGTCGATAGTAACAGTTCGATTGTGATATCCGTAACAAATTTCTCCTTCTTTCAGTGTTATTCTAAACTTGCGGTATTGTGTTTTGCAATTTTCTGTGCTTACTTTTGGTACTGTAACGGCTTGTAATCTAACGGAACCTGGTCCACCTGGCTAAAAATTAATGCCATTTGCAAAAAGCAATTAGATATTAAAAATATAACTCATGTCCCGAAACAATTTTTTTCTTATCAGACGCTTCAGTTTATTACAATTTTTTGAAACTATTGTATATATTATATAGTATGAAGATATCGATCACTCCGAGTCAGGTAATAAAAGAAAACACAATTTTTAACGATTTCAACGGCTCAGCCGTCCTCTTCAGAAAACTAAAATTATTTATTACAAAAAAAATTAAAAATAAAATTTTCACAATTATTGTAGAAGATTATTAAGAACAATAAAAAATTATAAAAAAAAACATTTACCATTGAAAATTAAATAAATAAAATTAACATAATTATAAGGAAACTTTAAAATTGTTAAATTTTAAAGTTCCTGTCAGCACGACGTATAATTTGACACTGATCGAACATTCAATAAATACAATCAATAACATTTAATTCTGAGGTCGTTAACCTCATATCAATTAATATAAATAGAGGATGTGTTTCTTTTATTACCTGACTCGGAGTGATCGATATCTTCATACTATATAAAATACCACCGAGTCTACTAAAAAAATTTTCATTTCACCTTTTGTAATGAAATTCGTAAACAATTCTTACTTTAATATGACCCCATCCTGAAATTGTTGCTATATCCGTTTTTAAAACTTGTCCTCTTTGTGGCAATTTTACTGGTTGAATAACGTTATTGTAAGTAAAAGGTGGATTGACTTTAAAGACAGCTATATCACCTCCGATTTTTCGTTTATATTCGTTAACTTTGTAATGTTCATTTCGAATAACCATGACCACTTTATGTTGTCTTGCAGTTTCTGACATATTTTTTATATCAGTAGTACCAGCTACTACTCTTATTTTGCCGTAATCTATTTCTTGACTGGAACAAATTTTTTATAAAGAAAAACCAGAACTTAAATTCTCTCTAAAACTGAATCAGTGAAATATCAGTTATTTTTCACTGATTGTTCAGTTAAAAAATAACTGAAATTTTTAATATGCTTGACAGAAAATTTCAGTAACTTTTTAATTGGACAATCTGTGAAAAATGACTGATATTTCAGTAATTTTCAATTGATTTTCAGTGAAATTTCACTGATTGAAATCACGAAAATAGACTCACTGATTCTCAGTCAAATTTCACTGATTCAGGTTTACAGAATTAATTTTTTATTTTTTAAATATTTTTAAATTTATTGACATAAAAATTAAAAAAAAAACACATAATTTAAGGGGACGTCTAATCGCCTCAAATCAATGCAAAAAGAGACATTCTTTGATACACGTTTGTCAAAAACTATTTACACTGAAAAAAATGTTGCCGAGAAATTCAACTATTATTATTGGGTAGTTGACTAGAAAGTAGTAAAAATAACTACTTTTTTAGTTAATCTAATCATGTTGATGTAGTTAATGTAACTATTTTTAAGAAGTTAATAAGTAATAGTTGATTTTACGTAAATATGTAGTTAAAAGTACAACTACAGGTCGGTAGTAGTAAAAACAAGTGGAATTGTAGTCAACTCAAAATTTGAAGAGTAGTAAATCCAACTACTATTCACCAGTTATATGAAATGTAGTAAAAGGAATTATTTTCTTTAATTAATATAACTGCTTTTTGAGTAGTCAATTTTTTATTAATTTCTATGATTTTATAGACTTTAATAAAATTCTTGTTGTAGAATTAACAAGTCGTCTGTAATTAAAACTACTACTTTAAGTAGCAGATTTTTTACTATTTTAATTAATTCAATAAGCTTGAAAAACGTTTTTGATGTAAAATTTAGAAATCGTTTTCAATTAAAACTACTGTAGTAGCTTTTACTACTTAAAGTGGTTCAATAGGCTTTAAGAACATTTATGTCGTAGAATTAAAAAATCCTTTGCAATTAAAACTATTACTTTAAGTAGTAAATTTTACTGCACTATGCAATTAAACAACTTATAATATAATTAAAAGATGAAAAATTGACAAGTCAAAACTTAAAAAGGATAGTTATAGCAACTAATAAAAGTAGTCAAAATGACTACTTTAAATAGTTAAATTACCAATTGGACAAGCAGAAAGTAGTCTTCGAGTAGTTTGCAGACTGTCGTAGCGAGCGTTAGTGTCGAGGGTTCAATTCCCGTCGGTTAGAAATTTTCTCGGTTAGGTACATAATCGTTAGGGCATAAAATAAGCGTCAGTATAGGAGAGAGGATGAAAAAGTTAATTTTACTGACAATAAACAATTATAAATAAAAAATAATTTTATTTTCCTATTTTAAGTAGTAAAATCTACTACTTAAAGTAGTAGTTTTAATTGCAAAAGAATAATTAATTCTACAAAAAAATGTTCTTAAAGCCTATTGAACCACTTTCAGTAGTAAAGTTTACGACTTAAAGTAGTAGTTTCAATTGCAAAATATTTATTAATTGTCCCAAAAAATGTTCTTAAAGCCTATTGAACCACTTTAAGTAGTAAAATCTACTACTTACATCTTGAGTTGTTTTAACATTTTCAAATTGAGTTAATACAATCACAAAATGTCATTCTACCAATTAAATTTTTCATTGGTTTAACTATTTTTATATAGTTAATAGAACCGTTTAAATTCAGTTGAGGACCTATTGTACTACTCAGAGTAGTTCAAAAGTAGTAAAACCTACAAGTTTTTTTTCAGTGTAATTTATCGCTTTGAGTCCTGTTGCATTCAATTACAGATATAGTCAAGTATTCTGTCACGTCACCCTAACTTTTACATTCATATTGTCAGAATCCTTTTTTTTAATCAATCAATTCTTTTATATATAAAAGAACCCTTCGTTTTTTATCCTTCTACGTTCATATATTGTATTTCCAAAAATATACAATTAGAAGCGAGAAACTCAGTATTTCCCTAAAAAGGCATAAACGAGTGTCCCTTTCCTACAGCTGCGATTTGAAACGAAGGCGCTCTCTTTCTAATTCTGTAATATAATCAGACAAACCCTCTTTTACGTTTAACAAAGAGAAAGAGATAGGGCTAGCTTCTAATATTAGGGTGGAAAAAGCAACACAAGACAATAAAATTTTATAGTCTCTCACTTAAATTTGGTATAAAAGGACTACATTTTTACGGAGAGACCAGTTTAGAAATTGGCACCGAAACTGCCAGTTCAGTTCATATTTTGGTATCAAGTGTTAAAAGTTTCTACGTCAAGAAGAGCTCATCCAAGTATTCAAGGATTTGACTTCCCATAATCTTTGGAAATCATCTTTTCTTCCTTTTCTGGAAGAATTTAACTGTTTGGGTTTCATTAATGTCAACTGAACTCCGGACCTGTGGTCATCACCAAGGACCGTCAACCTTCCTGTGAGCTCTTAAACTATATCTACGCTGAAAAACTTTTGGGGCAGCTGCTCTCCCAATCGAAAAAATACTATATTCAGCCCCAAAAGTTTTTCAGTGTAGTACCAGACGTTCCTATCATAATTAGGACACAACAGTGGTCCTTTTTTCACGCATCTTACATCTAAATTTTCAAGGTAAGTCGTAATACTTTTTATCTAAATCCTTCCTAAATCCTAACTTCTTATAAAATTTGTAGTAACTAGTAATTTAATTTGTTGCAGTGGAATGCTGATTTCCTTATTTCCAGAATGGTTGCTTCAGGATACTCTCTGTCAAAGATCAATTTTATAACTCTAAATGTTTGTCTAAAGAAATTTGTAACCTTGTCATTAAAAATCACTATTCTCTTTCTTCCCTGTACCCTTAGCTCAGAGCCTTCTGCTCTGTAAATGAAACAGGAATTCACTGAATCACCGAGCGGCCATAAATAAAATAAAATATTATTTCGTTAGTTATTTCTCTATTTGAGACGTAACAATTCAATCAAATAGTTACAAGACTTCGGGTTAATAAAAAATGTTTTTAGAAACATTTAAACCCAATGATAAAACAAATTAAAAGATTAAAAAAAAGTTTGAAATCGGTTCATTGGTTTAGAAGAGACATGTACGATAAATTAAAATTTTTTTTAAGATACGCGTATCGAAAGATGGCTCTTTTTGGCATTGATTTGAGGTGATTAAGCGTTCTCTTAAAAAATAAAAAAATATCTCAAATTAAATTATGCAAAGTCTCACCTCTTAAAACAATGTGCAGCTGTAAGTCCCCATTCTCTGCCAATAATTGAAGCACCACAAACACTCATTAAGTTGCCAGTTTTTCTTCCGACTTCGAGACGTAACTGAATTTTTTTAAATGAATTTTTTATTTTCTAATTTCTACTTTTTTTGATTTTATTAACTATATGCAATCTTACCATATGTGGAAATTTAAAAATTGTAGTTTCACTTCCTCCTACTATCCTATTTTGAGCCAATGCATATTGATATTTTACTGGAATTTATTGTTGAAACAAGAAATGTAAAATAATAAATTATGGATTAGATAATTACTTTTATTAGATATTTATACAATCAAATTATTATAACTAAGTTTAAGTAATTCCTCGACGTTTTTAAACAATTTTTCAAAAAATTAGTTACTGTTAAAATATTCAGAAATTCCAAATATTTTCAATAGTGGTTTTGTTTTGTTGTCTTTTTATATTATTATTTGTTTGAAAAAATACCTAATGAATATTATTTACTACACACAATATTTAATGATAAAAAATACTCTTTAACTTACATCCCAAAAGAAAAATTGATAAAAAGCAAGCTTTTCCAAAGAGGAACTTCATGGTAATTTAATTGTCAACTATATTAATAAATACTAGAAGAAATCCTTTTTATACTAAAAAATCGGAACTCGTGTACCCAAGGTACAATGTATGATAATAAATAATATAATTATTGAATAGTATTTAATCATGTGCAGTTTGCTTATCATTTTTAAATTCATATACAATATTCCTTATAGATAAATAGGCGCGGTATCACTTTCACATGATTAGATTTGAAGATTTTAATTAAATTTATTTTGTTAAATTATACACTACTCAATTCTATAGAGATTAAATTCCATGGATGAAATAAAATAAAAAATTATCCAATTCTACATCATCAAATTGATATAGCAAAACTCTACAATTTTGTAAATTTCTTTAGAAAATTATTCCTCTTCGTATCGCTTACATTATTTGACATACAAAACTTATATTTTTAAACATTTGCTTTTATACCAAATAAGTTCGCTTCGTGTGCGGAACACTCGATTTCAGTGCGAGTGTAACTTGCTCTTATCTGATTTTATTTTATGAAAATTTTCTTTTCAAAAAAATATATGAAACTCAATTTTATTTTAACTATCGATATTTTTATTGTATTTTAATCGTAAAAATACATCGAATACTGAATTTATCTATGTACGTCAAAAATTGTATAACTTAAGGGATAAATCCACTTCTTGAAAAATTTTAATTTTTCGAAAAAAAACCCAATTAAAACAACTTTCTATATTATGTTTGTTAAATTCTACCTATAATCTACACGTGAAAATGAATAAATTTGAAGCCCTTTAGATTAAATTTTCTTCGTTATTGAGGAAAAATTCATGATTTTTTCTATTAAAACTGATTCAACCTACTTCAGAAACAATTAAATTCAATCAAATGAAACATAAGGTATAAATAAAATACAGTTTTAAGATAAATCAGTTTTTTATTTCTAAAAGTTATCTAAAGTTTGATGCAAATTAAAAGAAAATTTATTAAATTAATATTTTTAATTTATTTATAAATATTTATTATAGAAAATGTAGGCGGCAATTAAATTTTTTTCTCTGTAGATACATTGTTTTCAAAATGATTTATCAATGTAGTTTGAAAATGACAATTTTTATATTATATTCCTGTTCTTTGCCTGATCCAATCGCGGAAGTAAAGAACGTCAGTATAAACACCAGGATATCCTTTCGTTCCACATTCGACTCCCCAAGAAACAATTCCAAGTTCTACTCTATCCGAATTAACAAGTGGACCGCCAGAATCACCCTGAAAAGAATTAATTTAAAAATATAATTTTTTATCAGTTGATTAATTATAATTATTTAAGTGAAAATAATGTATTTTTTATTACTTCACATAAATCGTGAGTAACTATTTTTTTGCGTTAGTTGATTAATTATTAAATTAAAAATGTTGTTTTTTTTCTTACTTGACACTTATCACGTGTTACTTGGCCTTTGTGATATCCATAACAAATTTCTCCTTCTTTCAGTGTTATGCTTCCCTTGCGGTACTGTTCTTTGCAATTTGCTGTATTTACTTTCGGTACAGTAACAGCTAGTAATCTATCGGAACCTGGTCCACCTGGCTAAAAATTAATGCCATTTGCAATATACAATTATTAAGAATATTTTCAAAGAAAAAAATTAATTTTGGTTCAATTTGAAATTCCTTATTATGCGCAAAGTTAAGAGAAATTAAATTTACAAGGTAGTGTGGTAAATATTTTTTAATTTCACCTTTTATAATGAAATAAGAAAATAATTCTTACTTTGATATTACCCCATCCTGTAATTGTAGCTGTATCAGTTCTTAAAGCTTGCCCTCTTTGTGGCAATTTCACTGGTTGAATAGCATTATTGTAAGCAAAAGGTGGGCTGACTTTAAAGACAGCTATATCACCTCCGATTTTTCGATTATTTTCCTTAGGTCTGTAATTTCCATTTCGAATAACCATGACCACTTTATGTTCTTTTGCAGTTTTTGCCCTATTTTTTAATTCAGCAGTACCAGCAACTACACTTATTTTATTGTAATCTGTTTCTGGACTGAAAAACATTTTTTAAACAGAAAAATCAAAATTTAAGGTGTTACGCCACCCTGAAATTTTCAAAAAATTGATTTTTTTTTGCTTAATTTCAAAATTTATATTCTAACGAATATTTTGAGATGTCTCCGAAGACAATGTCTCACTAATTACAAAAGTTATGATCTTTAGAAGTCAGCGGGTAGGGACGCGCCGAGAGCTGCTAGAAGCCGTCTAGCGCCTCCTTAACGACTTTCCATTTTCAGATCATAGGACATTCTTTCCATTCTAGGAGAAGAGTATTATGGCCCAGGAATTGCTGATTAAATAGTAAGTTAAAAAATTTTCAAGTTATAATACACTAAAGTATATTTTTTTCTTCTTTTGCGTTTTTCTCGAAACCATATTTTTCGAGACGGTGTACACGATAACTCAAAAACAATTCAACCGATTGACTTGCAAATTAATATACATCTTCCTAAATAGATTTTCCACAGAGTGACGTGGGATTTTTTCGATTGAATATTTGAAAATTTTTTATCCAATTTTTTATACGGTATTTTTAGCCCAAAAAAAATGTCAATTTTTGAAGTGCTTCCATTTGCGTAAAAAAAAATTTTTTTTTAAATGGCTTCGACACTGTTCAAAATTTGTCACTTTTTAAGAAAAATGTTGTTTTACTTGTTTCAGACAAAAATTGAACTGCCAATCAGGTTCAGCATCAAGGAGTGCTCCAGAAAAATTGATCCACGCCAATACTTATATATCCGCCATTTTTAATTAAAAACCATTTTTTAAAAATATTTATAAAGCTTAATATATGTATTAAAGCATCAATAAATGTAAATAAGTCCTACCTCTAACAGTTTTGTCAAAAAAATTCCTAAAAAACCATCCGATTTTCATGCGTTCAGGGTGGCGTAACCCCTTAAGATTATTTCATTGTTTTATTATATTTTTAAATTTTCTGACAAAAAAAAATTTTTAAAAAAACATATAATTTAAAGAATAAAAAATATTTCAAATTAAATTGTATACTGAAAATCTCACCTATCAAAACAATGAGCTGCTGTAAGTCCCCATTCTCTACCAATAATTGAAGCACCACAAACACTCATAAGGTTACCACTTCTTCTTCCGATTTGGAGACGTAGCTGAAAATTTATTTAACAAATATTTGAATTATTTATTTTTATTTTCTCATTTCTATTTACTTTGATATATGCAATCTTACCATATGTGGATATCTTTCAATTGATGTTGCAATTCCGCCAATTATTCTATTTTGAGCCAATACATTTTGATATTTTACTGGCATTTATTAATAAACAAAAAGAGTAAAATTATAAATTACGAATTAGATAAAATATTTAATTATGAACATTTAAACAAAAATTCTTTTACATTTTTAAAAAATGATTTTAGATGTATATTTAAGTGAGATAAACAAATGCATTAGTAATCTCTAGTGCCTTTTATTTACTAGCAGTATTGATAAAATTTACAAAAGTATTATAAACAAAAATTTCATATCTAATGTACTAAATTAGAAAGAATTATTTTTATATTAATAACACAGGTATTAATGTTTGAAAATTTAGAAATTTTAAATGTTTTTAACAAAGTTATAAAAGGTTTCATGTTAATATTTATTTGTCAGTAGATACCCAATAAACATTATTTATTGTCCACAATATTTAATAAAAAATATAAAACATTTTTAACTTACATCCCAAAAGAAAAATTGATAAAAGAGAAAATTTTTGAAAAAAGTAGTTCATTGTCAATAAAACACTAATGTGTCTAAATGTAAACTATTGAAAAAAAATTAGAGGAAATAGCTTTTATACTAAAGGATCGAAACTCGTGTCCTCAAGGTTCATTATACGATAATAAATAATAATTATTGCTTAGTATATATTTATGCACAGTTTTGCTTATCATTTATTTAATGTCATACAATATACTTAATAGATAAACAAAAAAACAATATATTAGAATTAAATTTTATTTCCTGCTTCACTTTTTTTATATCAAAAAATTGTAATAAATAAATAAATTAAATTCATGAAGGTTTTTTTCATATATGTTATAGTTTGGTTTTAAAATATATTTCATCACCATACATATTTGAAAAATTATCAGAAAGGGACCCTCAAAGATCATGATAATAATTTTAGACAGAATGCTAATTGGATTCCAATTTTGCTGAAATTTTTCCTCAATTTCATATTTAAATATTCACGAAGCTTTTCCGTGGAATTTTTCCAAGTAGCCTTTTGTATAATAAAACTCTATTCATCTAATCAAACTTTTTAAGAAATAGAATTCAGATTTCACGCCCAATTATTATTTTATAAAATATATCCTTTATTCGATTTTATAAGATTATATTAAAAATGAAAATTTAAAAAAAAAATTTGAAATTTAAAAATTAGTTTTTTTAATTTTGCTGTTTTTTCCTTGAACCAATCGCGGAAGTAAATAACGTCAGTACCCAAGTAGCACGTGCTATTACTGTAACATTAAAATGTTCGCCTCATGATAATATTACAGTAATATTATGTGTCTCTTAGGTATAAACACCGAGATATCCTTTCGTTCCAAAGAGGAAGTTCATGCTAATATTGAAACTCGAATACTTTGTGTTTAATTTTCAACTATTAATAAATATTAGAAGAAATCCTTTTTATACTACAAAATTGGAAATCATGTACCCAAGGTACAGTATATGATAACACAGGCCTGCAAAATTCGACTTTTTTTTATTTTTGATATTGAAGTCGTTTCTTATGTAATTTTGTGCGCTGAACACGATCCCGTGTCCCAAAATGGCCCAGCACGTCAGGATTTTGAGAAAAGTGGGGGTAAAGAGCCCAAAAACCGTGTTTTTGGGTGTTTTCAAGAATTTTTTTCTCCTTAACCTGACGTGCTAGAAACTTCTACTAGGTCTTAAATTAAAGCTTAAAGTGTGCACTTTAAGACTCATATGCGCAAGTAAAAAAAACTTAAGGGATTTTGAGAAAAGTGGGGGGAAAGAGCCCCAAAAAATTTTTTTACATACTTTATATCGGAGTGGTTTTTTTATGTATTTTTGTGCGCTGAACACGATCCCGGGTTCCAAAATGGCCTAAAACAACAGGATTTTGAGAAAAGTGGGGGTAAAAAAATAAAAAAACGCGTTTTTTTTGGTGCCCTTTACTCCCACTTTTCTCAAAATCCCTTAAGTTTTTTTTTACTTGCGCATATAGGTCTCAAAGTGCACACTTTAAGCTTTAATTTAAGACCTAGTAGAAGTTTCTAGCACGTCAGGTTAAGGAGAAAAAAATTCTTGAAAACACCTAAAAACACGGTTTTTGGGCTCTTTACCCCCACTTTTCTCAAAATCCTGACGTGCTGGGCCATTTTGGGACACGGGATCGTGTTCAGCGCACAAAATTACATAGGGAACGACTTCAATATCAAAAATAAAAAAACCATGCAGGCCTGTGTAATAAATAATATAATTATTGAATAGTATTCAATCATGTGCATTTTGGTACACGAAGCGAACTTTAATTTGGTATAAAACCAAATGTTTAAAATATATAAGTTTTGTATGTCAAATAATGTATGTGATACGAATAGGAATAACTATGTAAAAAAATTTTAGAAAATTGTTCCTCTTCGTGTCACTTACATACAATAATTCAATAATTTCAATAAATTCAATATAAATTCAATTTCTTTAAACTGTTTAAAAAAAGCCTTTAGTGAAAATGATATAAAAAACTTGGATTTACCCTCACAGCATGGGATATTCCGTGGAAATCCCATTTTCATCCCGCGAATACAAATAAAAATTTGAATACCAGGAATATCCCTCGGATATTGCATCGATATAATGGGATATTTCTAGGATATCTAAATGTCCTTTCTGTGCGACATCCCACGAGATATCCCTGAGATTTTCCGTGTGGGATATATATTTTTGCGCACACAGCTAACAAGATGTATACTGCACCCAAAAAAAAGTAATCTTAAATTTAGAGGAAAATTCCTCTTCTAAAATCCTCTGCATATTTCCTCTTAAAATACGAATATTCCATTTCACTGTAGAATATTTTTATTCTTTGTTGTAATGGAACAATGACAAAAGGAGTACTTTTGCATTTTCCTCTTCAATTACGATTTTCCTGTTTAAATTTAGTATATTTGAAAAAAGGAAAAGTTACATTTTTTTCCTGTTTGACATTTGCGCTTTTGTTTTTCGAAACTGTCAATTTTCGTATTTTGTCATAATAGTGTGTTATAAATCGAAAGACCAAAATTTACTAAATGATTTAAATCTGGGTGGATATATTGAATGGAGGTATAAATACAGAAAATATAACCTCTCGATGAATCTTCATTTCTTACTAATTTTCTTAAATATTTGCATCGAACTTCTTTGATATTTGCAACTGGCTATAGCATTTTTTATTATTATTGTAATTAAATCTAATGTATTGATGCTCAGCAAAAAGCAAGAAATTTTTTTCAGAAATGTTTAATTAAAAACCAATATTTCATTCTTTATTCCAGGAATCTATTATAATTTACCTTTTTTGAATGTAAATAATTAAATCTTATTAAATATTTATTATATTATTCAAATTTAAAAAAATTATTGGTTCTCTTGACATTATTAACACTAGGAATTTTTTTTGTTGAGATTTTGATATCAACATTAATTAATTCAATGTGTATTACGGTTATTTTCAACTTGTCAAAATATTAGAATATTATTCTTCCTTTAAGAGGATTTTTTCGAGAGGAAAATCCTTCTAACAAGTTGTAAATTCAGATGTTCATTTCATGAACATTTTGCTTCCTCTTTACGATCAGCAAAAAAATTTGCTTCCTCGTGGAGAAAGCAAAATTTTATTGCCAAAATGTGAATTTTTGATTTTTTAACTTTCATTAATTCTTTAAATTTACCTCAAATATATACTTTATATATATCGATCGATTCGTCTTGACGTAAGGAATACGATTTTATTATATATAACCTTAAATTTTTCTATTTAAAAATTTTTTGAAAAAAGACGATAAAATTTTTTTTTTGGGTATTTTTCAAAATCCTTTGGTCAGATTTGAGATATTAATATGATAAATGAGCCTACCAAATTTTATCTAAATCCATTAAAACCTGTTAAAGTTATCTTCTAAACAAAAAAGGGATCCACACACACACACACACACACATACATACATCCGGACAATTGATCAGGATCTCATATAACATGTTTCTATAAAGAAAAAAATTTGTTTCCACCACTTTGAAAAGTTTTATAAACGAAAGGACTACAAAGCTTCCTCCACGAGGAAGCAAAAGTAATACTTTTGATACCAAAATTAACCCTTTCGTGCCTCCGGTACATATATGTAGCACTTACAAAATTTGATGTAACTCTTACAAATTTAACCCAATCAGTAATTCCAATGGATAGTTTTATTGACAATCGTTATTACTATATGTTAAAAAATAGAAAACAGTATTATACAGTTATAATTATTTTAAACAATAGGTACAACATTGATAAAAAATTAACAAAAGTTATATATCAATAATGTTAAGTCATTCATTTAGGCTTCATCCGTTTTTAACAACACATTGACTTTTAATATTTTCGAGGTCGCTGATTACGAAACTGGAGTCAGATTTTCAAAATGCAAAATGGCGGATCCAATATGGCGGTCGAATATACAAAATTTTATCTGTTCTCTTCAAATTCGTCACTCGGGGGTTTTTGGGGTCGCTGATTACGAATCTGAAGTCAGATTTTCAAAATTCAAAATGGCGGATCCATTATGGAGGAATAAATTTCAAAATTTCACCGATTTCCCTTAAAACTCATCACTCGGGGGTTATTAAAATTATTATTTTATTAAACTAATTATATTGAAATTATTAATTTTATTTTAATCACCATCTTAAAATTATATTTAATTAATTTCTTTCATATTACAAATTTTTGTATTTTGTTATATGTAAAGCTTACATCGATTTTTAAAATTCGCGCGACTCACATGATAATGAAATTCATCCACCTTGTTAAAATAGGGTTCTTGGCGAAGGTTCACTGTAAAAAAACCTAACGCGCCTTATTCGGAACCTCTTAGGTGGTGTGGAAGACCGTCACCGCTGCAAACAATTGATTTGAAAGTGAGAAAAATTTAAGAATTTCTAAAAATTTTTTGAACAAACTCGATCCGTTATTTTGAATTTTGAAAATCTGACTGCAGATTCGTAATCAGCGACCCCAAAAACCCCCGAGTGATGAGTTTTAAGGAGAACAGATAAAATTTTGAAAATTAGTCCGCCATATTGGATCCGCCATTTTGAATTTTGAAAATCTGACTTCAGATTCGTAATCAGCGACCTCAAAAACCCCCGAGTGATGAGTTTTAAAGGGAACAGATAAAATTTTGAAAATTAGTCCGCCATATTGGATCCGCCATTTTGAATTTTGAAAATCTGACTTCAGATTCGTAATCAGCGACCCTAAAAACCCCCGAGTAATGAGTTTTAAGGGGAACAGATAAAATTTTGAAAATTTGTCCGCCATATTGGATCCGCCATTTTGAATTTTGAAAATGTGACTGCAGATTCGTAATCAGCGACCCTAAAAACCCCCGAGTAATGAGTTTTAAGGGGAACAGATAAAATTTTGAAAATTTGTCCGCCATATTGGATCCGCCATTTTGAATTTTCAAAATCTGACTTCAAATTCGAAATCAGCGACCCCAAAAACCCCCGAGTGACGAGTTTCAACAAAATCTATAAGCTAGGTTGCCCGGGGGCACGAAAGGGTTAAGAGGAAAATATGCATTACATTTAGAGGAATCCTCTAGAATGAAGATTACTTTTTTTAAGGTGTGTATAAATCCCAATCAAAAATTTACTAATGGCACAGTACTGGCGCAGTACTGACAAGTGTTGGCGTAGTACCCTACTGAAAATCCCCACATAGGCTCCTATATAGGAAGCCATATGGTTTCCTATACAAAATCGTATACGTAATTGGAACAGGAATTTGAATAGGAAATTAAGTAGGAATTATCATATGAATGCACATTATATCTTAATATCATGCGCAGTAGTTTTCATCAACTTTTTCGGCTGCGCAATAAATTTTTTTCATCTCTGTTGTCTATTAGGAACCTCTACTATTGAAAGATATATATCTTAGAGTTGAAAAAAAATTCTTATTATAGGAATTGAAATAGGAATATACATAGGAATGTACATTCCTGTGTGGATGTGGATTCATATGATAATTCCGACTTAATTTCCTATTCAAATTCCTGTTCCAATTACATATACGATTTTGTATAGGAACCCATATGGCTTCCTATATAGGGACCTAACTGGTTTCCCATATGAGTGCCTATGTGGGAATCTTCAGTGGGGAATACTGGATGCCAGTATACTGGCATCCAGTATTTTACCAGTATTGGTATAAAAATATGTTTATTATAAAACCAAAGTTTTTATAATATATAAAAACAGTTCAGTAAAAATAAAAATGTTTATAAAATAATTATAATATATATATAATTATACAATTAGCTCAGTACTGGTTTGCCAGTACTGGAAGGTTGGTACTGCACCAGTACTGATACAATGAAAATACCAGTACTGGTTCAGTACAGACTGCTCAGTCTCGGCAGCCAATACTGAACCAGTAATGCGCTAGTAGTTATAACTTTGGTATAATACTGAAATTTTTAGTTCGGATGTTTCAAGTACATATCTTATGTATTTTATTCTTGCTTCTTTTTTATTAACTGTAAGCTGTAAAATATAACACAGATCCAAATTTTGAAAAAAATTTATTTCACAAATTCAATAGTAAATTTTAACTGATTCATAGCAAATTATTGTCAGTTAGGTTAAAACTATTCAACCTACTTCAGAAACACTTAAATATAATTAAATGAATCAGATGCAAATTGCATTTATGAACAATATGTCAATATAAAAGATAAGGTAAACAAAATACAGTTTTTAGGTAAATCAGTTTTTTTTATTTCTAATAGGTATACAAAATTTGTATGCAAATTAAAATTTAAAATTACAATTTTTTTCTCTGTAGACGCATTGTTTTCAAAATGATTTATCAATGTAGATTGAAAATGACAATTTTTAAATTATATTCCTGTTCTTTGCCTTATCCAATCGCGGAAGTAAAGAACGTCAGTATAAACACCAGGATATCCTTTCGTTCCACACTCGACACCCCATGAAACTAACCCGAGTTCTACTCTATCCGAATTAACAAGTGGTCCACCTGAATCACCCTAAAAAGAATTTAATATTTTAACCTCTTCACGCTGTTAGAGGAAAAATTGATAATGTGGTCCCAAAATTTCTATAAATATTTTTACTTTGAAAATCAACAAGCAAATTTTTTTAAAATAACTCAAGTGCTAAAAACAATACTGGCTCAATATTGGCAAAGTTGTCCCCGAGCCTTGGCAGACAATATTGGGTCGACTCTTGTGGTGCTAATTGCGGTTGGACGTCGGCTGCCAGTCCTCGGTAGACATTATTGGCCCAATATTGTCTGCCATAAGTGGCTCAGTATTATGCAAATTAAAAAATGTTTAAAAAATTATAATTATTAATTAATTAACTAATTAATTCATGATACATTCACAATATCTATCCAATTCCAAATTCGCACTTGGGATTATTTTTCTGCGTTAGTTGATTAATTATTCAAATAAAAATGTTGTTTTTTTTCTTACTTGACACTTATCACGTGTTACTTGGCCTTTGTGATATCCATAACAAATTTCTCCTTCTTTCAGTGTTATGCTACCCTTTTTGTATATTGCTTTGCAATTTGCTGTGTTTACTTTTGGTACTGTAACAGCTAGTAATTTATCGGAACCTGGTCCACCTGGCTAAAAATTGATGACATTTGCAGTTAACAATTATTGAAAATATAACTCATGCACAAAAACAACTTTTTTCCTCTCATGTACTTCTGGTTACTACGATTTTTCCGAAACTACTGTAGGTATCTGTTGTTCAAAAATATATATCGACTTTTGAGATTTTTATAAATTTGGGTTTTCGAACCAAAAAAAAATTAATTTGGTTCAATTTGAAAATCCTTATAACATGCGCGAAGAAAAGATAAAAGTTAATGTTACAAAGTAGTCTGGTTTTATTATCATTTCACGTTTTTTAATAAAATTCGTAAATAACTCTTACTTTAGTATGACCCCATCCTGAAATCGTTGCTGTAACCGTTTTTAAGGTTTGTCCTCTTTGTGGCAATTTCACTGGTTGAATAGCATTATTGTAAGCAAAAGGTGGGCTGACTTTAAAGACAGCTATATCACCTCCGATTTTTCGATTATTTTCCTTAGGTCTGTAATGTTCATTTCGAATAACCATAACCACTTTATGTTGTTTTGCAGTTTTTGCCCTATTTTTTAAATCAGCAGTACCAGCAACTACACTTATTTTATTGTAATCTGTTTCTGGACTGGAACACATTTTTTAAACAGAAAAATCATAATTTAAGATAATTTTTCATTTTTTAAATATTTTTAAATTTTCTAACAAAAAAAAATCTTAAAAAGCCATATAATTTAAAGAATAAAAAATATTTCAAATTAAATTATATTGTACTGAAAATCTCACTTATCAAAACAATGAGCTGCTGTAAGTCCCCATTCTCTGCCAATAATTGAAGCACCACAACTACTTATTAAATTGCCAGTTTTTCTTCCGACTTGAAGACGTAGCTAAAAATGTGTTTAACAAATTTATCAATTATTTATATTTATTTTCTTATTTTTATTTACTTTAATATGCAATCTTACCATGTGAGGAAATCTTTCAATTGATGCTGGACTTCCGCCAATTATTCTATTTTGAGCCAATACATTTTGATATTTTACTGGTATTTTTTATTAAACAAAAAAAGTAAAACTATATATTACGGATCAGATAAATATTTTTAATTATTAACATTTAAATTATAACAACTGCGTGTAACTAAAATTCTTTTATTTTTTAAAAAGTGATTTTAAATGTATATTTAAGAAAGATAAACAAATGCATTAGTAATCTTTAGTGCCTTTTATTTACCATCAGTATTGTTAAAATTTACAAAAGTAAGTTATAAAAAAAATGTAATATAATGAATTAAATTAGAAAGAATTATTTTTATATTAATAATACAGGTATTACTGTTTGAAAATTTAGAAATTTCAAATATTTTTAACAAAGTTATAAAGGGTTTCATGTTAATATTTATTTGTCAGTAGATATCTAATAAATATTATTTATTGTCCACAATATTTAATAAAAAATATAAAACATTTTTAACTTACATCCCAAAAGAAAAATTGATAAAAGAGAAAATTTTTGAAAAAAGTAGTTCATTGTCAATAAAACTCGAATACCCTGTGTCTAAATGTGAACTATTGAAAAAAAATTAGAGAAAATAACTTTTATACTAAAGGATCGAAACTCGTGTCCTCAAGGTTCATTATACGATAATAAATAATAATTACTGCTTAGTATATAATTATAACCAGTTCTGCTTATCATTTATTTAATGGATAAACAAAAAAAAACAATATGTTATAATAAAATTTTATTTCCGGCTTCACTTTTTTTGTATCAAAAAATGTTAATAATGTAAATAAATTAAATTCATGAAAGTTTTTTTATTGGTTTTGAAATATATTTTATCACCATACATATTTGAAAAATTATCAGAAAGGGCCCCTAAAAATCATGATAATAATTTTAGACAATTTAAGACAATTTTTTTTTACAGTTCATTAATTTATTAATAATAAGATAAAATAAACGACGTTTCGGCAGGTGTCGCTACCACTATTAAGTTTACATTTAGTACACTAAAAAAGTATTAAGAATACAGACATAACTTTTTGGAAGAAAATATTTTAAAAAACAAAAAATATTGATATACATATAAGAAGATTTTAATTTTGTGCAATATGTACGAAGTTTGATGGAATTTTTAAATTATATTCCTGTTTTTTCCTTGATCCAATCGCGGAAATAAAGAACATCAGTATAAACACCAGGAAATCCTCTAGTTCCACATTCGACACCCCATGAAACTAACCCGAGTTCTATTGTATCCGAATTAATAAGTGGACCACCTGAATCACCCTGTAAAAATGTAGATTGCATAATATATTTATTTAATTTTGTTACACTACAAAAAAAAGTATCTTATTTTAAGATGTTTTGGTAACGTTTTTAAGACATTAAGATGTTTAAGATATCTTGATGTCTTAAGAACGCTACCAAAACATCTTGAAATAAGATATACTTCTTTTTTCAACGTAGTTAACTGTGTATTAATTTCTACGTGTATATTTTTAATTTAATTGAAAATTAGGCATTTGTCATACTTGACACTTATCGCGAATTACTGTTCCGTTATTGAATCCATAACAAATTTCTCCTTCTTTCAGTGTTATTCTGTCCGTGAGATAAATTTCTTTGCAAGTTTCTAATTTTACTTTTGGTACACTAACTTTTCGTAATTTCTCAGAACCCGGTCCTCCTGGCTGTAAATTAATGATAATTGCAATTACTTTTTAGATTGTTCGAGGTTTCAGATATACAATTAATTAATTTATATAATTAATTTTTACTTTAGTATGACCCCATCCTGAAACTGTTGCTGTATTCGTTTTTAAGGCCAGCCTTCTTTGTGGCAACTTAACTGGTTGAATAACGTTATTGTAAGTAAAAGGTGGACTAACTTTAATAACAGCTATATCACCTCCAATTTTCCGACTTTTATCATTAACTTTATAATTTTCATTTCGAATAATCTCAATCACTTTATGACGTTTTGCAGTTGATGCCAAATTTTTTATATCCGTAGTACCAGCAAGTACAGTTATTTTATTATCGTCAGTTTCTGGACTGAAACATATTTTTTTTATAATAGAAAAAGCAGATTTAAAAATAATTTTTTATCATATTTATCATATTTTTTCGATATTAGAAAATCTTCTTTAATGATTATAGTGATTTTCTCCAAGCTTTAAACATTTATTTAAATTATGCAAAATCTCACTTATTAAAACAATGTGCTGCTGTAAGTCCCCATTCTTTGCCAATAATTGAAGCGCCACAACCAGTCATTAAATTACCAGTTTTTCTCCCGACATGGAGATGTAGCTGAAATTTTTTTCATTTAATGTCTTAAATTTTTTATTTCTTATTGTAATTTATATTAGGTAGCTCTTTATTAAATACATATAATACATAAGGGTAATTTCGCGAAAAAATTAGATACCTTAGATTTTTCTTATTTTTTGTTTATAAGTACAGTTGAAAACCTGGTTAAGGCCAGGTCCAAGTGAGGCAGCGCCATCTACATTGAAACTAAAATTTTGGAAAATTTTCAACAGCCTTTTCTTGAAAACAAGAAGGTAAAATGCTTTTTCCTTTATGGATAATTGATTATTGGCAAGATATACACCAGCTAAAACTTTTTTTGAGTTAAAATAATAAAAAAAATTTCATGTCAATAAATTAAATATAAGCACTTTTTTCACAAAAACTGTAATAGTACTTTCTCAGAAATTACAATCAAAAATGCAATTTCCATTTGGAAAATTAATAAACGCTAAAAAATACACGACCTAAGATTTACCAATCACGAAAATAACAAAAAAAAATTTTATTAAATATTTAACATATTGATACTGCTTTACTGATTGTGACAGCCCTTTGGTAGATTATGTATTTCAGGAGGTTAGCAACAGCGCCAATTTCCTCCTTTCGGCAAAACTGCGAAACGTCTGGTGACATATATAACCTGCCAAACGGCTGTCATAATGAGTAAAATATGTTATGTTAAAATACTTTTTTTTGTTATTTTCGTGATTGGTAAATCTTAGGTCGTGTATTTTTTAGCGTTTATTAATTTTCCAAATGGAAATTGCATTTTTGATTGTAATTTCTGAGAAAGTACTATTACAGTTTTTGTGAAAAAAGTGCTTATATTTAATTTATTGACATGAAATTTTTTTTATTATTTTAACTCAAAAAAAGTTTTAGCTGGTGTATATCTTGCCAATAATCAATTATCCATAAAGGAAAAAGCATTTTACCTTCTTGTTTTCAAGAAAAGGCTGTTGAAAATTTTCCAAAATTTTAGTTTCAATGTAGATGGCGCTGCCTCACTTGGACCTGGCCTTAAGTGGAACATGAAGGGACCGAAATTTTTGTTCCACTTATAGAGGTATATCTCACTTACGCAGTTTTCTACTTATCCAGGTTGTTTATGACCCAGTTACATTTAAAGAGGTTCATTCATTTTATTATTTTTTAAAATAAATTACATTATGTACAAAAATTCCACTTACAAAGGTAAAGGATATGAATAGTTTCACTTATATATAGAGAGAATGTACCTCTTATAGAGGGGATTTTTTAAAAAATCAATTCCACTTAGGGACCATATTTTAATTACGTAACGCTTCATTGGAGAGGGGGGAGGGTCAAGCTATTTGTTACACACAGCAAAAAAATGGCGCTAATGTATACAAAAATCTGTTACATAGGGGGGTTAAAATTTCAAAGAAAAAGTGTTACGTAATTAAAGTATGGCCCCTTATGGAGGTAACATTTTTCCACTTATAGAGGTTTTTTAGATTACATATTTTGCATTAGTTGTGCGGGGATCACAAAAATAGTCTCACCAAAAGAGGTTTCCCACTTATCCAGGTTCGACAATATTTATAATTAAAAAAATAAGAAAAATCTATGACAAGACCCTTAACTCTCCCGCGAAATTACCCACAATCTTACCATGTGTGGAAATTTTTCAATCGTTGTTTCAGTTCCTCCTATTATTCTCTCTTTGGCAAATACAGTCTGATATTTTACTGGTATTTTATTATTAAACAAAAAAAATATAATTTTAAATAACGAATCACATAAATAATATTAATTATTAACAATCAAATTATCTTTACAACTTGTGAGTAAATTCTTTAATACATTATTTAATAACAAAAATATTTTTAATTAATTAACTATTATTAGCAATAAAATTATTATTACTACGTGTAAGTAAATTCTTTAAATATATAAATTATTTAATAACAATAAATATTTTTAACTCACCTCCCAAAATAAAAATTGATAAAAGAGCAGCTTTTCCCAAAGACAAAGTCATTGTAAGTTAAGCTCGAATATTATGTGTCCAATTATTATTGTTAACTATAAACAATAGAATTAAAAGGCATTAAAATAAGCGTTGCAGCTAGGATTATATATATTATATATATATAGGATTATATATAGGAAAAAGTTTTTATGATATAGTAAATAATAATATTATTATTTACTAATAATAATATTATTATTTACTATATATAATCATCAACAATTTTGCATATGAATAATTACCGTAAAAATTATTTTTTATATAATATACACTACCGTCGGAAATTGTCGGTAAGATTAACGTTCGAGGAGAGGAAATTCGGCGCTGACTTTAAATCAAGATATTTCAAGTTAGAAAAAAGTTAGAGACTTCTAACTTGGATGGTTGGAAAGCTGCACAGAAAATTTTAAGGTATTAAAATAAGCTGCAACGCTTATTATTTTAATCCAATTTTGCTTATTTTAATCCATTTTGGTATTAAAATAAGCAAAATTGGATTAAAATAATAAGCGTTGCAGCTTATTTTAATACCTTAAAATTTTCTGTGTGATAAAATTCTGCTTCTCAATGTATATCAAGAAAATTTTTTTCTTTTTTTTTTTGTATTTATAACACCGAAAACATTTCAAGCAAAAATTATGCTGAATAACTGAAGATTTGTGAGTATTCGAATAATTTATATACACGGAAAAATCTTTGGGTCGTCTGTGTGCCAGTATTTTTGAAAATTTGTATATTACTACCACAATTTAAAAAGTCAACTTTTCTTTTGTGGGCGTTACTCACCCAAAAGCGGGAAAACACTCGTAGAAAGTTTATGGTAGCACTGACGCGGTAGACAAACGATTGCTGACAATGCAAATGTTTCTCCGTGTACAAATATCGAGGGTGAATAAACTTTTTGCAATATAAATAAGATAAGGTGATTTACATTAACTTACAAAAAAATTCTTTGAACAAAAAAGACGATAAAAGAAACTTTAAAATCAATTTTATAAAAAATTAAAAACCGTTTAACTTATTTAAAAAAATTATTATAAATTTTCACTAATTTAAATTTATTAAGTAATATTTCTAATACAGATATTTATTTCTCATTCATAATTCCATAAAATGATATTTTTATATTTCTCCTATTGTTTGCTTTGTAAAAAAGTTCTTTGACACTCGGCAATTTGTATATATATAAAAAATTGATCAATTACTCACAATTCTTTAGTTTATCAGACGCAACAGTGTTGAGCAGATTTATTTAGTTAATTTACATTACACAAGAAATATTTGGTTTTTACTTTTTTTTAAATTTCTTTTGCATGTTACAGAACAATTTTTAATAAAACTGTTATAGTCTTGTTAAGGACAGCTGAGCTGTCGTCAAAAGAAGAATCAAAGAATTTTACTTCTTCCTTGACTTGAATAGACTGATATTCTTCATTATGCTCATATATTTATATAATTAAATTACTTTGTCTGTTTCATTTTCAAAAAAATAATACAAATATAAAGTTAAGGTTAATTCATGAATATTTATTATTGCAATTTGTCTTTTCCTTATTCATTGTTTACAGTTTGCTTTCAAAATATTTTATCAACATAGTACACGGAAAAAAATTAGTTACTTTGTATCAGCTAACCACGGTTGTCTGTGGTAGCAAACTTTTAGCTGGCATAGCTAACTCATTTTTTTCTCATATATATATATAATATGTTACAAATTATAAGGGTGAACTTTCAAATTATTTTTTTCTACTTTCTTTTTGGTTCAGTTGCGGAAATGTATATACTTCAAGATTCCAATTTTCAAATTGAAAACAATTTTTGCGGTTGCAAAGTTAGATATTGTTTATGTTTATCAAAATAAATATTTATATTTTTCTCGAAATATTATACATGTCTTAAAAGATTACGTAAAATAAGGAAACTTTTTGATATTGTCTGGGTAACAAAAAGTTATCATTTCAATTAATGACATAATATAAAAAAATTTGTCTTCTTTTTTCCAAATAATTATCAGCCATTTTAAAATACAGCTTTATTTCTTCACTTATTTACATATAACTGGACTTACAAACAAGTTTTAGAATGAAATTATTTTTCCTACTTCATTAATAAGGGGTCATCCATAAAGTATATGTGATACATTTTTTCGAAATTTTAACACCCCCCCCCCCCCCCACCTCAACCCTTGTGATGCTTTTTCCATTAACGATTAACATGTAGCGTGATATTTTGCTGACTCCTCCCTACTTCCTAAAGCACCACATGCTTTATGGATGACAACTAAAATATAAAATAAACAAAAAGTTTAATGCAGTTAAAACGTTTAAGTAAATTCATAAATGTCTTATTATCATTGAGAATTCAGGTTGATGGTATTTTTTTCTCTGTTAATGCGGAATTTTTAAATTATATTCCTGTTTTTTGCTTTATCCAATTGCGAAAATAAAGAACGTCAGTATAAACTCCAGGATACCCTGAGGTTCCACATTCGACACCCCAAGAAACTAATCCGAGTTCTATTCCATCCGAATTAATGAGTGGACCACCGGAATCACCCTAAAAATAATTGAATTGCATTATATTTAAATTTTAAATAGTTTTAATTAGTTTCCTTTGTCATTAATTGATTACTAATTAAAAATGATGTATTTTTCATACTTGACATTTATCGTGAACAATTATTCCATTATTATATCCGTAACAAATTTCTCCTCGTTTTAGTCTTATACCGCCTCTGTAGTACAGTGCTTTGCAATATGCTGTATTTACTTTTGGTACAGAAACGTATCTTAATCTATTAGAACCTGTTCCACCTGGCTGTACATTAATATTTTCGATTAATTTTTAAATAACGATATACAATAACAAAAATTAATTTTCTAGCTTTATAATTAATTCTTACTCTAGTATGACCCCATCCTGAAACTGTTGCTATATTTGTCTTTAAGGCTTGACCTCTTTGTGGCAATTTGATTGGTTGAATAAATTTATTATAAGTAAAAGGTGGACTGATTTTAATGACAGCAATGTCACCTCCAGTTTTTCGATTACTTTTGTTGACCCGGTAATGTTTATTTCGAATAACCCTAATTACTTTATGTTGCCTTGCAGTTCTTGCAAAATATTTTATATCAGTAGTACCAGCAATTACCGTTATTTTATTATAATCAATATTTCGACTAAAACATATTTTTTTTCAAAATATAATATTATAATTATATAATATAATAATAATATAATATTTTAAATTATGGAAAACCTCACTTTTTAAAGCAATGTGCGGCAGTAAGCCCCCATTCTCTACCAATAATTGAAGCACCACAAACACTCATTAGATCACCAGTTTTTCTGCCGATTTGGAGACGCAGCTAGAAAGTTTTTTAATAAATATTTTGTATTATATATTTTTATTTTCTAATTTATATTTGATATTCTTTTATTAAGTTTATATAATCTTACCATATAAGGAAAATTTTTGATCGTGGTTTCACGTCCACCAATTATTCTATTTTGAGCCAATACTGTCTGATATTTTACTGGGATTTCATTTTTGAACAAGAATAGTAAAAGTATTTAAATTATTGATTAAATAAATATTTTCAATTGGTATTGATATTATTATTTAATGATATTTTATATTAAATATTATTTGTAAGCCTTGTAAGTATATTTACCTAATAAATATTATTATTCACTATATACAATATTTAATAACACAAAATATTCTTAACTTACATCCAAAAATAAAAATTGATAAAAGACAAGTTTTTTGAAAGAGGAAGTTCATGGTAATATGTAGTAAAACTTGAATATATACTCTATATCCAATTGCCAACTGTCAACAAACATTAAAGAAAATAGTTTTTATTCAAAAAGATTGGAACTCGTATTCTCAAGGTTCATTTATACGATAGTAAATAACAATTATTTTTTAGTTTAAAGTCATGTGAATTTTTGCTTATCATTTAGAAAATAATCTACAATATTTTATTTTAAATTATTTTACCTGTTTCATTAGAAAAAATAATAAAATATTCAAAGTTTGATGTAATAAAAAGTAAATGGTGAATTTATGATTATTTATTATAGTTTTAGAATAAAAAAAAGCTAAAGAGATAATTGATAAAAAATGAGAGGAAGAAGAAGTTGATAAGTGGACCTAATTAGTCCTATAAGTGGACCTGATAAAAAACTTAAATTTGCAAAAAATATCGACAACAATGTCTGATAAGCCGAACCTCACTCTTTGCAAATACACAAAAGGCTTTCGAAAAATAATAAAATTTAAATAAAGCGGTTTATAATTTATGATAATAAAATGTTTAAAAATCAATAAAACTATTTATGCATGGATAATGTAAATGGCCGAAAGTTCATTCAATATGAAATCCAATAAATTTATCTAGTTTTAGAATATAATAACAATTATAAAATACTATAAATAAATATTTAACTTCTTTTCTTAAAATTAAGTCTTATAATTTCAAATAAATATTTTTAATTCACATCCCAGTAAGAAAATTAATTTAAAAAAAAAGAAATTATTTTAATTAAATGATGATGTTTAAATAATATATTCTGGCCTTCCATAATTTCAAAACAATATTTCATGTAACCTTAAACCTATTCATTTTGGATACAATATATGACCACGTATAAGGTTATTTTCTTCAAAACCGATACATTGCAATGGATAATATACAAACCTTAATAATTAATCAACTATATATTTGTTATGTTTAATTTTTATTAATAATTATTCTTCAACATTTACGTTTATATTTGTTTAGTCTTAGGACACTTAATTCAATGAATGAAAAACACAACAGGCAATTTGCAGTTAAATATTTTATTTTCTTAGCGATTCAAAACTTTATTTTTCACTTGATGTCGCGCGTATTTTTGAGTGTATAGCGAATTTCCGACTGACTATCATTCCTACTAAAAGAAATCTCTCCCTCCCCCCATCATCTCTTTTCGCGTTAATGAATAATTCCCATACAAACTATCAAACAAATTTTTAACAATATTTGCAATATTACGATTTTAAACTTTATTTAAATGTTAGTTAGATAATTATATATAATTATAATAGTTTCTGAACATTTGTAAAAAACAATAAATTTTTAGATAATAAATTGTCACTGATGAAGGCCCATACTGCGACCGAAACGACTGCAATAATTATGTATTAATTATTGCATTGGATACTATATAAAGTCCAAATATTATTAACATAATATTTTAATTCAAGGACGAAAACAAACCAAATAATGAATTCTTATTTTTCATTATTTTTATTTTCAAGGAATTTTTGTTTAAAACAATTTTCTATTTAAGTACTACTAATAGATCGTTGAAATAAATAAAGTTAAGAATATTGAATGAAGATATTTAAATTATATTCCTGTTTTTTCTTTGATCCAATCGCGGTAATACATAACGTTAGAGTAAACACCAGGATATCCTCTCGTTCCACATGCGATACCCCAAGAAACTATTCCAATTTGTATTTTTTGTGGAGAAACAAGTGGTCCTCCAGAATCGCCCTAAAAAAAATTAATTTATAATAAATTGAATTAATATTCATCGATGTTTTGTTTCGAAATCGATAGGTACCGCGGTTTTTACATCAGAATTTATTAATTTACAATAATTATAAAATTATGTATTTTTTTGTCGCTGACATTTGTTCAAGGCCATATTAAAATTTGATAAAATCCAAAAACATATTCGATATTCGTAAATAAATCAAAGCATTTCAACCAGATACGTCATGAGTTGTCCCAAAATGTCAATATTTTTAAAAATAATAATTTATTTTTTTTGATTGGGACAAAACATCGATGAATATTCAATATATATATATACAACCCATAGCGTATATGATTGAAGTGCTTTGATTTATTTACGAATATCTTTCTGGATTTTATCAAATTTGAATATGGTCTTGAATAAAGAGCAACGACAAAAAAAAACAACTAATTTTATAATCATTATAGATTAATAAATTCTGACGAGAAAACCGGTACCGGTCGCAAAAATTGTTGAGAATTGATTTAATTATCGAATAGAATGCATGAGAAAGGTAAATAAAGTAAATTTTCATACCGAACACTTATCCTGGGAATTTTCTCCACCCAATTGTCGTGAATAACAAATTTCATCTAATTTTGCCAGGTACGCTGGAATCTGTGCATATTTTTTTTTGCAAGCTTCTATGTCTATTTTTGGCACAGTAACGGATCGCAAACCAAATACAACACTATTACCTGGCTACGAATAAAAAATAATTGATTTCGATTAATTATCACAGAGAAATTTGAAAAATAATTATTACTTTAATATCCCGTGCAGAAAATTTGACCGGGCTCTGGTCGAGCCCAGACCAGGCACGACCGGGGCCAGATCTGGCAACCTGATCTAGACCCAATCGAAATGAAACAGAGAACCCAACCGGGGCATGCCAATTTGTCCGATCTGGATTCTTGGTCGGGACCCGACCAGGGCCATGGTAATTTACCCGATCTTATAGTAATTGTAATTTTCAATAAATTATCATTATTTATCTCTAATTGATAAATAACCTGAGGCGAAATTTGAATCCTCTTTAGCTACCCTTAGAACCTAAATAGGCCCTCTTTTGGATCTTGTAGACTCCCGTAGACTCTCCTTTGAATCTAAACGTGGAAGAAAAGGAAATTTGCGACTGGTTGAGGAAGCTAAAGAGGGTCTTGTTCGATTAAACCCAGATAGCACGGAAACTTGCAGCATGCTTGCTGCAAGCTTGTCTGAGCTAACGAAATGTCCCACCCAGGGCAAGCTTGCCGTGAAAGATTTCCAGGAAAGGTTGCTGCAATCTTGCCATGAAAGATTGCTGCAAGCATACTAAGAATGATTGCGGCAAGCCTGCCGTGAAAGATTGCTGTAAGCTTGCTACGTAAGGTTGCAGGAGAATTTCACCAAGCTTCTGGAAAGGTTGCTGCAAGGTTGCTGCAATTTTTAAAAAATACATTTTAAATTTAAAAAAAATTTATTTGTTTTCTAAATTTGAAAATCCTTGTGACGTTTATTATTATTAATTATGTCCTGTTTATTTTCATTTGGAAATTTAACGAGAAAATTTTCGAAACAAATTTGAGGGGACTGGGAATTGAACTCGGGTTCGACAGACTACTAACCAAAGACCCTAACCGAGAACCTACTCGACCAACTATCAGAGAATAAAAAAATCTTGCTCTTAACCCTCGACTGTTTTTATGAGTTGAAAAACAGTTGAAAAACGGCGGGCTTTTTCGTATATAATAAAATATTATAATAAAAATATAATAAATAATTAATAATAAATAAAACAATAATAAAAAATATAATAAAATATATTAAAATATAATAAAACCTAATAATAAATAAAATAAAAAACCAAAAATATAAAATTCAAAAATTAATTACAAAAAAAAATTAAAAATATTAAAAAAAATATTAAAAATTTAATTTAATTAGTTAAAAACTATGGTATATTGAAAAAATAACGGCAATTAATACTAGAAATTAAAATGATAAATAAAGTAAGTATATAATAAGATATATAAATATTATTATTAAATTAACAAATGTTTAATACATTTAAAAAATTTTATTCATCTTTTCAATAAGTATTTTCATATTTTAAATAAATTTGCTAAAATATAACAATAATAACATTGATTAATTAACAAATAAAATAGAAAACACAAAATTTCTATTTAAAAGCATATTGAAAAAGCCCGCCGTTTTTCAACTGTTTTTCAACTCATAAAAACAGTCGAGGGTTAAGAGCAAGATTTTTTTATTCTCTGATAGTTGGTCGAGTAGGTTCTCGGTTAGGGTCTTTGGTTAGTAGTCTGTCGAACCCGGGTTCAATTCCCAGTCCCCTCAAATTTGTTTCGAAAATTTTCTCGTTAAGTTTCCAAATAAAAATAAACAGGACATAATTAATAATAATAAACGTCACAAGGATTTTCAAATTTAGAAAACAAATAAATTTTTTTTTAATTTAAAATGTATTTTTAAAAAATTGCAGCAACCTTGCAGCAACATTCTTAGTATGCTTGTAGCAATCTTTCATGGCAAGATTGCAGCAACCTTTCCTGGAAAGCTTACAGCAAGCTTTCACGGTAAGCTTGCCCTGGGTGGGACATTTCGCTGGCTCAGACAAGCTTGCTGCAAGTTTCCGTGCTATCTGGGAAAAAATACAAAAAAATACTCTTTTAATTATTTTGATTAAAGCAAAATTAATTGTTTTCGCACATTTTTTCTTTAATTACCCTTTAAAAACTGGAATGAACATATTTTGAAGCGTTTTTAAAAAATTAATAGAATTGAATCCAAACATGGAAGAAAGGGATATTTGCGACTAGTTGAGAAAGCTAAAGAGGGTCTGTTTAACCCTACTTTACTCCTTGTAAAGTAGGCCTTAAATTTCGCCTCGGGAAAACAATAAAATTAATCAACATTATTTTATTTTATGTATCTGCATTTAAAAAAACACCTTATAAAATGAAAATGAAATAAAAGTTGAAATAAATTTTTTGAATAATTTCGTTTATTCTCTAAATCTGAATTAGTAAAAATGTTTACTAATTTAAATTAGTGACTCACTTTTTGCTTAGGAATTAGTAAAATTTTTCTAATTATTTGTAACTTTTACTAACAATTAGTAAAATTTAAGAGACTCACTTTTTGCTTTAGAATCAGTCAAATTTTACTAATCGTTAGTAAAAGTTACTAATAATTAGTAAAATTTTACTAATTCATAAGCAAAAAGTGAGTCACTAATTTAAATTAGTAAACATTTTTACTAATTCAGATTTAGAGAATAAAAAATGTCATAAAATGCTATAAATGTATAGTAGCATAGTATGTATAGTACTAGTTTTTTAAAAATTTTAAATATGGCAACCAGGCCTGGCCCTGGTCGGGCCCATAGAAATTTACTAACTCGGAGCCAGAACAGGAAATCGGATCGGGGCCAGGTCGATAATCGGGATGAAAAGTGTCAATTTCTGCACGGGTTCTTACTTGTATAGCACCCCATCCTGCAACTGTTGCCGATGCGGGTAAGGGTTGATTCTTTTCTGGCAACTTGATTGGTTGTGTAAATCTGTTATATTCTATGGGTTTTGCAAGTTTAAGAACAGCGATATCACCTCTAGCTGTGATATTATTAAAATCTGTAGTATTTTCTATACCTATAAAATTTTTGTTAAGAATAAATTCAGCTATATTATATTGCGCTCTAGTTTCTGGGAATAATCTTAAATGACCAGTTCCAGTAATAGCAATTACATTTTTTTTATCTACATTTCCACTGAAAATAAATTTTTAAATTTAATATTTTTTTAAATTGTTTAAAGATGCTATAAAAATTAAAGTATTCAATCATAGAGAAAAATATGATTTTTGACATAAAAAAATTACTGCAAATTAAGAAATATGAAAAATCTCACTCCTGAAAGCAATGCGCAGCTGTAAGTAACCATTCTTTTCCAATTATTGAAGCACCGCAAGTGCCTGGAAAACCATTTATTCTTGGTATCACAAGACGTGCCTAAAAATGTTTGGTGGAAAATGAATCTCAATGTAAAATTATTAATTATCATTGAATTAAAATTTTCAATTAAATTTCAAAATAACTTCACCATATAAGGATGATCTGAGATTCTAGCCTCCTTTCCATTTACTATCCTATTTTGAGCCAATATAAGTTGATATTTCACTGTAATTAATATTGATGAAAAAGGAAGTAAAAATTATGAATCAAATAAACATTTTTAATTACAAACTAATTATTAGAATATAATCACAGAATTGTACATACATATATAAATAGACAAAATATTAAACGTATACTTACATACAAAAAGAAAAATTAGTAAAAGACATCCTTCTCTAAAAATTAAGTTCATTGTAAGTCAATACTTTGCGTCCAATAATGTATTGTTAACAAGTATTAAAGAATATAAGTTTTACGAAAAATTAATAATTAAGTTTATTTCCATGTACTTTTTATATATAAGCACCAAAAGTCCTTGAATAAGCTGGTTTTTTTATGTAATAACAATTTTTAAACGTCTTAGTTTTTATTTTGCATATTTTTTAATTTGTTTGTTTTCGAGTCTTTTTATCATTAAAAATAAATTTCAATATAATGTAATATAATATTTTTTATTTTTTTATTCTCTCCATACATACTCTCTAAATCTAAATTAGTAAAAATGTTTATTAATTTGAATAAGTGACTCACTTTTTGCTTCTGAATTAATAGAATTTTACTAATTATTAGTAACTTTTACTAACAATTAGTAAAATTTAACTAATTCTACAGCAAAAAGTGAGTCACTCTTAAATTTTACTAATTGTTAGTACAAGTTACTAATAATTAGTAAAATTTTACTAATTCATAAGCAAAAAGTGAGTCACTAATTGAGGAGGTCAATCAAATAACTCGATTCGCGTTCGAAACATCGCCCTTATGGTATTTCAACGCATTAAAAATAGTGAAAAATTTTAATTTTTTGAAAACACTATCTTGTAGGGAATAAAAAAACACAACTTTTTTCCTTAATACTTTTTTTTTGTAGAACCAATATTAAGGGGAGGGACCGGTGAAATTTCAGCCTACTGAAGTTATTATTGTTAAAGAGTGTCAATTTTTTTTCTGGCATAATTTAGGATCCAAAATTATTATAAATTATTAACATTTAAAAAAAAAATTTTTTAGCCATTTTAGAAAATTTATTTTTTGGAAAAATTAAATTTCTTTAAATTCCATACGATTGATTGTTTAAAATCGTGAAAAAAGCGTAAAAAAAATTCGACAATAAAAAATAATGAAAATTGTGGAAGTAGTTGAATTTTTTCAAAATTACCACTAAAATTGAAACCAATCAAAATTGATCTTGTTTAGGGGTAATAATTTTTTTCAACATTTTTTTTCAACCAAAAATCTTATTCTACTGAGAAAAACAACAAATGGTAATTTTTAATAATTTTACAAATATTTTTATTTTTCAAAATTTTCATTTTTTGAAAAAATTGAAATTTTTCAAAATCCATACGCTTGATTGTTTAGAATCATGAAACAAGCGTATAAAAAAATCGGCAGTCAAAAATAATTAAAATTGTGAGAGAAGTTTAAATTTTAAATTTTCGAGAATTTTGAATTTGATTTTAAAAATTATTAACAAATTTATAGTTTTTCAATTTTTCATGATATATTATACATTTAAATAATTAATATTGTCAGAAAAAAAATTGACCACCCTTAAACAGCTTTAATTTTGATGTGTTAAAATTTCAGCGGTCCCTCCCCTTAATTAAATTAAAAATTAAAAACACCAAAAAATCACTGGAAGTTTGATCAATTCAAAACTTCACCACAGACTTTTCCTCATCGAAAGTAAGAAAAATATATTACTGACAGGTCATTATTTACAATAAAAAATAATTAAACAGTAAATAATTTTAAAAGTTTTTATGATTTTTTCGGTTTCAGCAGACCCAAATGAACTTGTATAAAAAATTGCAAGTTAATTCATTAATATTTAATTTCAAAACAACGATTAATGTTTAAAAATTTAATTAAATTTGAAAAAAAAATTTTTGGTGTTTTTAATTTTTAATTTAATTAATATTGGTTCTACAAAAAAAAGTATTAAAGAAAAAAGTTGTGTTTTTTTATTCCCTACAAAATTAAAATTTTGAATTTTAATTTTTCACTATTTTTGATTCGTCGAAATACCATAAGATCGATGTTCCGAACGCGAATCGAGTTATTTGATTGACCTCCTCAATATAGTAAACATAGTCAGACCCCCAAATCAGAAATTTTTTCTAGGAGAATCAGATGACATATAATATAATTTAAAAATTTTTTTTAATGTTTAGTAAAGGCAAAAAAATTCTTGTCGAACTAACTAGAATTTATAGTTAAGAAAATAAAAAAATTAAATACCAAGAAATATCTGTTTATAATGAAAGAGAGATTGGCAAAGAGAAAAATAATAATCCTAAAATTTAGCAATCAAAAAATATTTTTATTTGAGCCACAAAAAACAACATATTAAAATAATTCAATTGTGTTATTATTTTTAGAAAAAATTAATAATTAAATAGAATCATATTAAAGTGAAAAATTTAAACTCCTGTTTTTTCTTTGACCCAATCACGGAAAAATGGAACACTCGTATAAATTCCAGGAAGTCCATGCGTTCCACATTTCACTCCTTGAGAAACCACTCCAAGTACAATACCGTCATCGTTAACCAATGGACCACCAGAATCACCCTAAAAATAAAGAAAAAATTTAATTCATTTAAAAGAAATTAAGGATGAAGATTTTGGTATTCTATATATAAAATTCAAAGTTTAGTGAATCTTTTTTGAAAATTTTCTAAATTAATTATTTACTAACTTGACATTTGTCTAAGGTGGTTGTTTTATTATGAAATCCGTAACAAATTTGGTCACGCTTAAGTTTTATATGATGATGATGATATTCTTTCTTGCATTTCCTTGTCTTCACTAATGGTACTCTAATATGGCGTAATTTTGTAGCACCTTTTCCTTTCGGCTGCAAATAAACAATAATAACAATTAATATCTCAAAAGTTGAAAGATATTACAGATATTAGATATTCTGCATCAAAAAATATTTATAATCTAAAAATAAATAGGTACATGACATTTTAAATTTATTGTAAGAACAAATTGAAATGTCGAAAAATAATAAAATAAAAATATAGTCACAAAATCGAATAAAAACTGTTATCTGAAAAAATTTTATTCTAAATTTAAGAATATTTTCTGATATCTATTTTAAAAGTACAATTGCATATATGTACATTAAAAAAAAATCGAGTTTAATCTTACATCTGTTTTTCCCCATCCGGCAATAGTTGCCATGTCGACTTTGATTTTTTCTCCTTTTTCAGGCAACTTTAAGGGTTTTGTAGCTTTATTAAACTTTAACGGTGGACTAATTTTAATGACTGCAATATCGTGTTCAACATATCCATTTGAGCCTATTCCATTAAATTTTTCATGTTGAATATATTGAGAAACGTGATATGTTTTTGCTGTGCGTGCTCTTCTTTTTAAATCAGATGTACCAGCAATTACGCGAATATGATTTACGTCGCTATCAGGACTGAAAACAATTTTTTTTTCAAATAAAGAAATTTTTTTAATTTTTTAAATATAATAATAAAAATATTTAGAAAGACTAAGAGAGTAATCATACTTTAAGAAACAATGAGCCGCTGTAATAGCCCATTCGTTACTAATTATTCCGGCTCCACAGAAACTGGCCTTATTAGAATGGACTCGTGGTATTATAAGCCGAAGCTAAAATATTCAATAAATTAGTTAAGTAATTTTTCGATTAGAAAAAATTTGTAATTATTAAAACTCGGAAATTTAATATAAACTTCAATTAATTTAAAAAAAATATATATTTATATTTTTTTCCTTTTTATGATTAAGTACATTATCGATATTAATTGTTAATTACCATATAAGGTGCTTCTGTTATTTCAATTTCAGTTCCACCAATGATTCTGTTTTGGGCCCATATTAATTGATTTTTTACTAAACATAACACAAAAATGTTTGATGAAAAAAAACAAAAATTTAACGATAAATATGGTTTAAATTTTTCGAAATTGTTTTTGTTCAAAATTTATTTTTATTTTATTTTTATATGAATCATAATTTTTCTTTCTTAGTGAAATTATAAATTTTTTTCCAAAAATATCAAATTTTGAATTTAACAATTCTTTAAACATTTGAGAATAAATTTATTTATTTAATTTTTATATTATAGAATTATATAAAAACTTTTAAATTATTTTGTTTGCATAATAATTTTATTTATTAAAATAACAAAAGGAAAATTTTTTTATTTTTATTGTTAAAAGTATACCTATATAAAATATAAAATACAAAAAATGAATTTAAAAATAAACACATTTGTTAAACAAATACATTTTTTTAAAGAAAAAAAAAAATGAAATAATATATAACTTACAGAAGAAAAGAAAAATTGAAAGCAAAATTGGAATATTTAATATGAGGTTCATTTTTTGACCTATTATACTTCACGCTATGAAGTATTTTGTTAAACATTGTCTTTGAGTACCACTTTTATACTTGAAGAAAAAAAAACCGGATCTTCATGTCTCCTTAAGAAATATTTAATTCGGTATTGTATAATAATCAAAGTATAGACTAGTGTATGTACGTACTGTCTTTTATCAGTTGAGGGAAATACTGAAATTGTAATTAAAAAAAAAGATAATAGTTGTATTTTAAAATTAGACCTTTACAATTTTTAAACAAAAACAAAAACATTTAATTAAATAAATAAATTGAAATAATAAATAACTTAATAATTATTCCATTTACAAAATACATTACGTCATTAGGTAGTTAGGTTTCGTGATTGCCACAATGTTAATTTGTCGATCATTTTTTTCTGAACACTGAATAGTTTGAATTGATAGACTTTTTTTAATTTAAAAATTTTATAATAAAAATTAGTTAGAATGAAAAAATAGATTCTAAAAATATAAAATGTAAAATAAAATAAAATGTAAGAAATAAATTGTAAAAAATTCTTTCAAACAAAATAAAAGGAGAAAGTTTCAAAAAATAAAAATTTTAAATAATGTCATTACTCTTATTTTGCATCAAATGACTTCATAGTAAAGTTGCAGTACGTTGTATTCAAGATCAGCGGGTGACCAATAGAAATATGTTATAGGGCTGTAAAGCAATTAAGCATGTTAGATATCCTGAGACTGTATCATGAATGTTACCTTTTATTACCATCATTAGTGTAAAAATGTTTCTCTGTATAAACATTAATGTAAAACTTCATCCTATCGACAAAAACATATAGTTACTTTTTTTTATTTATAGCGCTATTAAATAAACTTTTCTAAATAAATCAATACATTCAATTTGCATTTATAATTAAAATTTTATTCATTTATTTATTTAAAGTACATACAAGTGGTTAAGTCGGGAACGTTCTTTGAATTATATACTTGATTCGAATAAAAATGCAGCCTAATTTGCTTTTTTGTTATTTTTTCTTATTTAGACAATACATTTTTTTACGAAAGGGCATTTTTAATTTTCTAAGTTCACATATAATGTAAAATAAAAACAAAGTGAAATCACAATAATCACATGTCCTTCAAACATTTTAAAGATTTATAAAATAATGATAAGAATTAAATAATAATATTAAAATGAGATTTCATTTTTAGAAATATTATACTAGAAGTTGATAAATTCGATACCAGGCGATATTCCCTGAAGGTTATTTTTAGCTATTTTGGTAAATACTTTTTAAATTTTTTATTAATTTTTTAGAGCTTTTTAATTTAACATTACAAAACCACAATATGATCAAGACAGATGATAGGTACATTTGTTGTATTTGAGACAAAAAAACAACATATTAAAATAATTCAATTGTGTTATTATTTTTAGAAAAAATTAATAATTAAATATAATCATATTAAAGTGAAAAATTTAAACTCCTGTTTTTTCTTTAACCCAATCACGGAAAAATGGAACACTCGTATAAATTCCAGGAAGTCCATGCGTTCCACATTTCACTCCTTGAGAAACCACTCCGAGTACAATACCGTCATCGTTAACCAATGGACCACCGGAATCACCCTAAAAAGAAAGAAAAAATTTAATTCATTTAAAAAAAATTAATGATGAAAATTTTGGTATTCTATATAAAATTCAAAGTTTAGTGAATCTTTTTTGAAAATTTTCTAAATTAATTATTTACTAACTTGACATTTGTCTAAGGTGGTTGTTTTATTATGAAATCCGTAACAAATTTGGTCACTTTTAACTTTCATATGATGATGACGATATTCTTCCTTGCATTTGCTTGTCTTCACTAATGGCACTCTAATATGGCGTAATTTTGTGGAAACACCTCCTTGCGGCTGCAAATAAACAATAATAATAATAATCAATATCTCAAATGTTAAAACACATTACAGATATTAGAAAAATAATAAAATAAAATTGAAGTCACAAAATCGAATAAAAACCCAATCAAAAATTTACTACTGGCGCAGTACTGGCACACAGTATTGGCGCCAGAATTGACGTAACTTTGGGATGATAACATTCTACCAGTATTGGCTACCAGAGTTGACACCAGTATTGATAACCACTGCTGGTTCAGTGCTGGCCGTTTTGTAATTTCTTGTATACGAAAAGAAAGCTTTAACTGTAACAGAGATAAGTTTCACTGCAATAGTGAAATCTCTGCTCCAGGTAATACTTTTTTGGTATACTTAGGGAAAAGTGTCTGAAATTTTTAGTAACTTAACACAAATTAAATATTAATTAAATTAGTCAACTAACTAATTAATATTTTATTATATAAAATCGAAAACACCAAGAATTTATATTCTTTATTATAATATAAATTGCAAATTATTATTTTAAAAAATCAAAAAATAAATATAAAAATATGTTTATTATATAAAACCAAAGTTCTGAGAAAAAAAAGTATACGTAATTTTTTGTAAGTTTATAAATTTTCGGGTAAAAATTTTTAAATTTAAGTTTTTTTCAAAAGTATAATATCTACTATTTTTAATCACATATATATTTGCATCAAAATCAATTTTTGAAAAACTTTTTTAAAAAAATCAAAAACTGTCAAAACCAATTTGACAGCAATATAGATTTTTTTGGTATTTCACAAAGCTCATTTGTGAGGGAATTACGCAATTTGTTTTTCAATTTAAATAATAATGGCGCAGCCAATTAGTAAATAAGTCTAAAATTTTTGTAAATACAGTACTTTGTAGGACAAAGCTTTATTCCGGTATTGCCCGTGTAAATAAATAAATAAATAAAATAAAAGTTGTTTTCTGATTTTTAACAAGTGTTGTCAAGAAATTTTTTTTAAATTTTTATTTAAAAATATATAAATTTTTTATAAACAAATTTATTTATTTTTAGTTTGATAGTTTAAAAATTTTTTTTGGTTTATTGCATATCTGAAAACAATAAGAAAATCTTGCAAAATGTTTTAGGCTTGATCTCAGGAAACTTTCTGTTTAAATAATTTTACCCACAGAAAAGTAAAAATAAAATATATTTTAATTTTGATGAATAAACTCAAGGTGAAAAAATTTTGATAAACAAAATATTTAAACAAAAAGATTCATTAGGTTCACTCTAGAACTTTTTGTAAACTAGTATTAATCAAAAAGAAAAACTATTTGAGCCAGTACTGGCTCAATATCGGCTCAGTAATAATTTGCCAGTACTGGGAGGGTGGTATTGCAACAGATACAATGAAAATACCAGTACTGGTTCAGTACAGACTGCCCAGCCTCGGCAGCCAATATTGAACCAGTACTGCGCTAATAGTGAACTCTGGTATAATACTGAAATTTTTGGTTGGGAATTGTTATCTGAAAAAACTTTATTCTAAATTTAAGAATGTTTTCTGAAATCTATTTGAAAATACAATTGCATATACATTAAAAAAATTGAGTTTAATCTTACATCTGTTTTTCCCCATCCGGCAATAGTTGCCATGTCGACCTTGATCTTTTCTCCTTTTTTAGGCAACTTTAAGGGTTTTGTAGCTTTATTAAACTTTAACGGTGGACTAATTTTAATGACTGCAATATCATATCCAACAGAATCATCTGAACCTATTCCTGTAAAATTTTCATGTTGAATATATTGAGAAACGTGATATGTTTTTGCTGTGCGTGCTCTTCTCTCTGTATCAGCTGTACCAGCAAGTACGCGGATATGATTTACGTCTTTATCAGGACTGAAAATAATTTTTTTTTTTTTTTTCAAATAAAGAAGTATTTATAATTTTTTGTTTAAATATAATAATAAAAATATTTAGAAAAATTAAGAGAGTAGTCCTACTTTAAGAAACAATGAGCGGCGGTAACAGCCCATTCGTTACTAATTATTCCGGCTCCACAGACACTGGCCTTATGAGAATGTATTCTTGGTATTGTCATATGAAGCTAAAATATATAATTAATTAGTTAAGTAATTTTTCGATTGCAAAATTATGAATAAGAAATAGTTTCTTTTATGTAATAAATATAATAATTTGAATTATGTTCATAGAAATGGTTGATTTTGAATATCAAAAAATTTGTAATTATTAAAACTCGTAAATTTAATATAAACTTCAAATTAATTTTTAAAAAATATTTATATTTTTTTCCTTTTTATGATTAAGTACATTATCGATATTAATTGTTAATTACCATATAAGGTGCTTCTGTTATTTTAATTTCACTTCCACCAATGATTCTGTTCTGGGCCCATATTAATTGATTTTTCACTAAACATGACACAAAAATGTTTGATGAAAAAAACAAAAATTTGAGAATAAATTTATTTATTTAATTTTTATATTACAAAATTATAAAACTTTTAAATTACTTCGTTTGCATAATAATTTATTTATTAAATAACAACAGGAAAATTTTTTGTTTTATATTTGTTAAAAGTATATAAAATATAAAATATAAAAAATGAATTTAAAAACAAACACATTTGATAAACAAATACATTTTTTTAAAGAAAAAAAATGGAATAATATATAACTTACAGGATAAAAGAAAAATTGAAAGCAAAATTGGAATATTTAATATGAGGTTCATTTTTTGACCTACAATACTTCACGTTATGAAGTCTATTGTTAACCATTGTCATTGAGCACCATTTTTATACTTGAAGCAAAAAACCGGATCTTCATGTCTCCTTAAGAAATATTCAATTTAATATTTTATAATAATCACAGTATAGACTAGTGCTTGTACATACTATCTTTTATCAGTTGAGGGAAATACTGAAATTGTAATTAAAAAAAAAGATAATAGTTGTATTTTAAAATAAGACCTTCACAATTATTAAATTGATTAAGAAATTAGAATATTTTTTATAATTTTTGTAAATTAACAAAAAATTTTAATTAAATAAAATAAATTAAAATAATAAGTTATTTAATAATAATGCCATTTACAAAATACATTACGTCATTAGATAGATATAGGTTTCGTGATCGCCACAATGATAATTTGTCAATAATTTTTTTCTGAACACTAAATAGTTTGAATTGATTGACTTTATTTAATTTAAAAATTTTATAATAAAAATTAGCTAGAATGGAAAAATATATTCTAAAAATATAAAATGTAAGAAGTAAATTGAAAAAAATTCTTTTGTTAGATATCTCAGGACTATTCTACTTGAAAAATAAAGAAATACGTGTTTTTTTATATTTTGATTCGATTTTGTGTGTAGTTTTGACGACTTTTTAAAGATTTTTTCAAGAAAATTAATTTTTTTGCATTTTTCGCTTAAAAAAAGCATAACTTTCGTAATTTTTAACCTTTTTTGTTGCTCCTGGGCTTATTTTTTTCATTTTTTTTACTCTTTTAAAAAAAATTGCTCCGAATGAAAAATATTAAAAAACAAGGATAAAAATGGAATTTTTCGAAAAAACAAAAAAAATTTTTTTCTCAAAAATGCCACCTTTTTTTCGCCCCAAATTTTCAGGATTTATTAGTACACATATGTACTACATACCATAAAAATTTCACTTGGTATTTTTTTGTTTCTTAGGAGAAAAAAAATATTTTCATTTTTTTGATTAAAAACTCTAAAAATCATCAAATTTAAAAGGTTTCTAACTGCTCCTTGATTCATTTTTTTACTTTTCAACATTATTTTCGAAAATTGCGCAAAAAATAAAGAATGTTAATAATTTGCAAGAAAAATAACTTTGTTTTAGAAAAAAACGAAAAAAAAGATTTCAAAAATTTTTTTTTTCAAAATTTTTTTTTAGATTTTTTATGTATTGATTCGGTTTATTATCATCATTAGAGTAAAAATGTTTCTCTGTTTAAACATTAATGTTCTTGATCTTTAAAAGAAGAAAAACATCATCCTATCGACAAAAATAAATAGTTATATATAATTTCTTTTATTTATAAAACTGTAAAATAAACTTTTTTTCCAATTCTAAATAAATCAATATATGTGACGCGATCTGAAGAAAGGGACCTTACAAGCAAATTATATTTAGTTATATTTACGACAGTTTTACTTGAACTAAAAGTTTATTTTTGTTCTTGTAAAACTGAAATAAGTTTTTATTGAATAATTTTCATGTATAATAAAGACCTAATATCATTAGATTGCATTACGATTTGAACGTATTTGTGTATTTTCACTTTAAAATTTCAAAATGTATAACCTATAATTTTTCGCTTCTAAGGTCCCTTTCTTTAGAAAGGGCATTTTTAATTTTCTAAATCCGTATATGAGAGATTCTTTTTCAATCTCCAATGAAAATAAAAAAAAAAAAAAAAAAATACCCGAAGGGGTGAAAATCGAAAAATAAGGGTTGATTTTGAAAAAAAGGGGTTAAATTTTTTTTTTTTTAAATTTCGTATACATTTTTGAAAAGTACGTGAAAAATGCAATAAAATTCATTATAGATAAATTAAAATCCATTAACTTTTGTCATAGTTATACAGATTTGAAAATGACAATGTTACCCTTAACGGCACCCTTATCGGCACCGCCTACTTTAATATTCTGTTTCACACAAAATTATTGTTGTCCCATTTTCATATTTACATAGCTCATCGGAAAAAACCTCAGCTTTCCAATGAAAATAAAAAAAAAAAAAAAAAAAATACCCGAAGGGGTGAAAATCGAAAAATAAGGGTTGATTTTGAAAAAAAAGGGGTTAAAATTTTTTTTTTAAATTTCGTATACATTTTTGAAAAGTACGTGAAAAATGCAATAAAATTCATTATAGATAAAATAAAATCCATTAACTTTTGTCATAGTTAAACGGATTTGAAAATGACAATGTTACCCTTAACGTCAAAACTTCAACCCCCTCTACTTTCTACAAATATTTTTTTAATTAGTTTATATTTTAGGGATTTATTACTATCATATAGGACAACAATTTACCAAAGTATGAAGCCAATCCCAGAACATTGACTTTTTGGGCTGGGACGATTGAAAAAGAATCTCTCATATATGGACAGCTATCTAGATTCTATCAGTTACTTTCGAGATTGTACGGAGTAATATCTGGATTGTAGTGGGTAACATAATCATACTTTTTGTAACATCTTTGATAGTACCGAGTAGCATAATGATGGTACCGGATAACATCTACTTTTTACCATCTTAAGATCATAAGTTCTTACCATCTATTTCTCTCCGTGAATTATTATTATATAAAATTATTAACAATAAAGTAAATATAACGATAATGAATTCATAGCATGCTTACATAATAATTTATCTATGAGATAACCTCCAGACAAGTAGCATAAATTTACGGTGAATCTTCTCTCTAAATTTGAATCAATGAAAAAGTCACTGGTCTCAAATCAGTCGCTAAATTCTAAACTGAAAAAAATTTTTCCTAAATCTTCAACTACCTTTGGGTAGTTTAGTGAAAAGAAGTTAAAACAATTACTTTCTTAGTTAGTTTAACAATGTTTGTGTAGTTAATTTCATTATTTCTTAAGAAGTTAAAAATTAGTAGTACAATTAACTTAAAAATGTAGTTAGAATTTAAAACTACACTGTTAGAAAAATCTGTATTAGATTTAATATACATGCGTATGAAGCGAATATGCACTACAGTTATTGAAATCTAAGATACATGTATATTAAATTTAAAGTGACAACATGGCGGCTGTAGATGCCTATTTCACCAAACGGTCATTATTTCCTTGATATTGAAAATTTATTTGAATCATATAGGAGAACAATTTACCAAAGTATGAAGCCAATCCCAGAACATTGACTTTTTGGGCTGGGGCGATTGAAAAAGAATCTCTCATATATATGTAAAATAAAAATAAAATAAAAAATGAAACCTAAGAAAATTTAAAAGCATGATCCATTCGGAGCTTAATAATTTTTCCACCATATCATCCATGATCTAAAATCTCTGCCTCGAATGAATGAAGCTATTTAAAGTTTCCGTATAGTCTAATTAGAATAGGAAGGAAGGAAAATTGAAGTTCACCGATAATGATCATTAACGTTTTAAGGTCTTAAGCGTGGGGTTTTGTGAAGGTTCGTAATTCATGAGGCACATCAGAGCATAACAACAGGATAGAAGTAATGAGGTGTATATAGTGCATGTACGCGTTAAGCGAGAATCCTAAATAGAAGAAATCGAGTGAAGCTATCGTCTAAAAACGGTGCACTTTGCCGTGTGTCATCGTCTGGCCATGCACTGCATTTTTTTTTTCTTTACTTTTTGCTTATATACCAATACTTAACTGCATCTCCCTTTTTTCCGTTCCACACACCACGATTTCATATATACACGCACTGTGTGTATTCTTGACAAATATTGCATTCGTCCGCATACGCAATGGATACGCATGGTTTCACTCGCATTTCTTCACTCACAGTCAGTATAACATCCTCGTGCTTTTCGCGCTTGAAATTTTTGACAGAAATATCTATAGAATGAAAAAAAAAAAAAAAAAAAAAATGTAACATATCTCGAGTGCCGAAGAATTTTATTGTTTTCACGTGAAAAAAAATAGAAAAATTTTTTAATATCTTGTAATCCAGAAATATATTTTATTTATATTTCAGGAATATTTATATAAATATGTTATATAGATATATTATTGTGCAATTATTGTTCCCCTAACTATTGGAAATTATTAATTATTATAAAAATAAAGAGAACAAAAAAAAAATATCTTCATCAAACTATTTGAACCAATAGTGACGGGTTGTCAAGATACAGGGGCCTCTTACATGCGACTTTCTTAAGAGCATTTGAACCTTCGTGACGTCACAAATCATGGCGCATGACACGCAAACTTCTCAGGTATGTGAAAAGCACAATTTTGAATATTTTTTAAAAAAACCTTTTGGAAAATGTTCAGAATAACATAGACTCTGTCTGTTATGTGCGGAAAATTCGAAATTTTGCGTTTAAAACGTTTTTTAAACAATGTTAAGGTCACAAATCATGGCGCATGACACGCAAACTTCTCAGGTATGTGAAAAACACAATTTTGAATATTTTTTAAAAAACCTTTTGGAAAATGTTCAGAGAAACATAGACTATGTCTGTTATGTGCGAAAAATTCAAAATTTTGCGTATAAAACGTTTTTTAAACAATGCCTACATATAAGCAATTCGTGTATTTTTCCTTACTTGTGACAACCAACTTAAACATTGTTTAAAAAACGTTTTATACGCAAAATTTTGAATTTTTCGCACATAACAGACATAGTCTATGTTTCTCTGAACATTTTCCAAAAGGTTTTTTTAAAAAATATTCAAAATTGTGTTTTTCACATACCTGAGAAGTTTGCGTGTCATGCGCCATGATTTGTGACCTTAACATTGTTTAAAAAACGTTTTAAACGCAAAATTTTGAATTTTCCGCACATAACAGACAGAGTCTATGTTATTCTGAACATTTTCCAAAAGGTTTTTTTAAAAAATATTCAAAATTGTGCTTTTCACATACCTGAGAAGTTTGCGTGTCATGCGCCATGATTTGTGACGTCACGAAGGTTCAAATGCTCTTAAGGTTATGTGATTGTTGTGATTTTACATGAAAATACTCTCTAAATCTGAATTAGTAAAAATGTTTACTAATTTGAATTAGTGACTCACTTTTTGCTTCTGAATTAGTTAAATTTTACTAATTGTAAGTAAAATTTACTAATAATTAGTAAAATTTTACTAATTTAGAAGTAAAAAGTGAGTCACTAATTCAAATTAGTAAACATTTTTACTAATTCAGATTTAGAGAGTATTCTTCTCAGATTTTCACGCAAGCTACAATTTTGTGGAGAAATCAAAAATAGTATAAGGACTCGTTGTCATATGCCAGACTATATTAATATTTTGTCAAAAAATTTATTCTTAAAAAATTGCATGTTTGCGTTAATTTTCTTTCTGAGCCAATCAATTTCTATCCGAATCTAAATTTCTACATAACTCAATAAAAAATTCTTTCTAGATCAATCCGTTTTATTCTGAAGCTGAATTTTACAATTCTGTTTTTTCTTTCTGAATCAATTTGTTTCATTCTAAAATGTTTTGCAAAAATTTTGCTATTGAATTTTTATATAAAATGTTTTCGATCTCTTCATTTTTTTTTTTTGCTCTCAAGAAATTTAGAAATTCAATAATAATTTGCTGAAGACACTACAGAAAACAGATGTTTGCTAAAAATGATTGGAGTGTTCCCCTTTTATGTGTGAAAGGACCACAAATAGAATACTATACAAGAGTCGTCTAACTGTCTGGCTCTCTTTGCAAACATAAGATTTAGTCTTATTTCTTCAAAGTCTAAATTATATTTATACAAATATATAATTTTTTTCACACATATCCATCTATGATCATTATTATTACTGTAAACTTATATATTTTCTTTTTAATTATTTTATTATTTGTCCAAATCACCAGGATAATAATAATAATAATAATTTTCATCAAAAAATAGAACAAAAAGTTATTATTTAATTAATATAATTTTGAACTAAGAATAAAAATTTTCTTTTATAAAAAATTCTTATTTTAAAAAGGAAATGCAAAAGGAATACAGGAGCGAAAGATTTCTTTTAATTTTGATAACTAAATTTAGAATGTAGTAAGTAATATTTTTAATAAAATCATTAGAAAAAGTACTATTTTTAGTGTAAAAATTTTGTTGTGTACTACTTTGCTTTTTTACATATTTGTGCATATTTGATATAGACTAAAATTTGGATTAAGTTGATCTCGAAATATTTATGATAATGTGTATAGTTATATAAATAAGATCATTTGGGGCTTATTTTAAGAAAATCTAAATGATTAGTTTGAAGAGCACGTGGCGTAAAATAAGGGAAAATGAGATTGAGGACTTCTGTGTACATGTTGGCATCTTCTAAGAAAGGATGGTTATTATTCAAGAGAAGTGCATTATCCTCTTATTCGCTGCTAAAAGAAGATTTAGTATCTCCAACCCAAACGTTTCTCTCTGTACCAAAAATATTAGACACAACATTTATAGTTGTTACATATAAGAGGTTACATATTATTTCAAAAAGTTTATAGTGTATTTTTCAATAACTATATATTTGTCATTGTTGTATTCAATAAATTTTATAACATTGTTATAGCTTTTTTAAAAAATTGTATTAAAACAAAATAAACAATAAATAGAGTTAGAAAATTGAAAAAAGACTTTTATAAATAAAATTATCAATATTTGCGTCATAAACATTAATAGTTCACGTGTGCATAAAATAAACCTGTTAGATATTATTGTTTAAAACGATGTTTAAATAAATATATATATAATAGTTGCGATATGAGATTATTTTATTTTAATGTTATAGAGACAGCATAAAATATATAAATATTGTTTATATAAAAAAAAACACTTTTGTTAAATTAACTATTAAATGGTAAAATTAATAAACAATTGAAATTTTCTTTCTAATAAGTAGGTTGTTCACCTATATAGCAAAGACTGATTAAAAACTGTTGTTTGAAAAATTGTAATGTAAATTAGCTTCTTATGTTGTTATAATTTATTTTCCACTGATGGCTTTATATGATAAAGAAAATTTTAATTTATTTGTAACTAATATAATTAATTTTATATATTTTTTTTCATATTAATTATTTTATTAAAATTATAATTTATATTGGTTCATCTGAAAATTTAAATTTTCGATTTTTCAAAACATAATACCTACAATCCCAATAAAATTATTTATATAATTTTATAAAAGATTATACACTATCAATGGAAAAAAGAAATATTTCGATAAATATATAATTGATAAATAAACACATAATTTTTTTTTACACCTAGAGCATATTGCATGATCTAAAATTCTTTAAAGAGTATTATTTTTAGATAACAATTATTATCAAATTGATCATTTGCGTGATAAAATGTTGCGACTGGTTATACTTTGATAAAGTCTTCATCATAACGTAATAAAAATGATATATTCAAGATAGTACTTTCCATAAATAATGTCTTCATTTAAAGTGAGTTAATTATTCTAAACAATTCTTAAACTAACGTTTCTACAGTTTAGATCAATTTCAAGGGAAAACGAAATTTCAATTGTTATTATTTTCTCTTTTTTTCAATAATTTTTCTAGGAAGGAACAATTTATTTATAATAATAGTCTATATAAAATTAATAATTTTAAAAACTATGAGGATTTATTTTCTATTATTTTTGGCAATTTTGATTGTCAAAAAAAGTGAAACAATCGAAGACAAAAATGTAATTAAAGGTAAGGCAATATTTATTTTTAAAAAATTTTAACAAAAAATTATCTATATATTTGTTTTAATAATTTTTTTAATAAATTTTTTACATAATATTATAACAAATATTTTTTTTAAATGTGATTAAGTAAACAATATGAGATGTAAAGAAGGAAGATTTTTCATCTGATATTTGAGTCTTCAAGACTACACAAAGAGAAAAATCTAGACTTTATAGCCCTTCGTTTTCTTATCGAGATGAAAAATTTTGAATTAAAATTAAAAACTGTAAAAAAATATTACACCACATTGAAGTGTGTCAAAAAAATTGAGAAAAGAATAAATTTTTGTTTCTTTTCTTTCAGTTATAAATAATGTTGCTAGTAAAGCAGCCATGGATGATAAAATCAAAAAAATCATTGAAGGATTTAAAGAAATAATGAAAAACGGAAATGAAACTTTAGGCATACCTCGATTGGATCCTTTCGAGTCAAATTCAATCAATTTGACTATTAAAAACGCTGATTTAATGTAATTTCATAAAATTATTTTTTATAAGAAAATTTTACAACTATCACATTTTTTATATCATTGTCAAATTTACTTTTTGATTTAAGACAAATTCTTGTCCCTACATAAATAATTTTAATTATATTTAAAATTTTTATTTCAAAATACTTTCTTTCAGAGGTAAATTTTTTTCTTCAAATATAATTATTGAAGGTTTGTCGAATTACATTGTGAATAAGGCACAAATAAAAGTTGTTGGTTTAAAAATGATTATTGCTCTCGAATGGCCTAAAATTGGAGGAGAAGTTTTAAATTATATCTTATCTGATGGTCGATTGATGAATTTTGTGAACATATTTGGACATGGAAATGCAATGTAACTACAACTTCTAAAAATATATTTTTCTCCAATAATTAATAAAAATTTATTAATATTCAAGTACATATAACAACTTAATTAAATTGAAATTAAATTTTTTAGTTTTCATATTAATAATTTCAAATTCGCTATTGAAATGTCCATAACAACTAACCAGACAAATAAATTTCTCTGCATCAAAGAATTACAAACTTCTATTTCTATTGGTGATAATAATGAAACTGACAGCATTAAGGTTTGTTTTGTAAATAATTTAAATAATAATTTCATAATTTAAATATTTTTAAATTGACAAAAATTCTTTTAATTTTAATATTATGCTTTTTATTGTAGTCATATGTTTTGAATTTTATATAATGTAAAATTTGCAAAAATACTTTACATTAAAAACATGTGTTTTATGTGTTACAGTTTTACACTGAGGGACTTTACGATGATAAAGAGTTATCTCAATTGTTTAGTGGTGTTATTTCTGAATTGGTACCTGCGGCTTTTGATATTTATTACAAAGAAATGATAAATACATTAAATAAAGTTTTAATCGATGCAGCAAATAAATTCCTGTTTGGAAAAACTTGGAAAGATCTGATAGCAATTATATCACAAACATAAAAATATTTTCATAATTAATTTACATTTGTCACAAATTATATTAAAGAATTTTAAAAATATAAATTCATGACTATGGAATACGATATATATTTCTTATTTTTAATATCATGTTTCGAATAATACAAAATTAATCAATTAATTATTTTGGAAATGTTTTATTGATTAAATATTCTGAATCATTTCTTTTTTTTTTTGTAAAAAAGTATTTTATAAATTAAAATGAATTTTGCTTAGAAATGCCACCCACGCATTGTCTTGGAAAATTGTCATGTCGTTTACATGTAAACCGTTATCGAAAGCAAACACAGACGACAAAAAAAGATCGTTGCTCGTAAAGGATAATTCATTTTTAATGATTCACACATACATGACATTCACCTTTTGCATGTGTATAATATACATAGTATATTTATTAAGAGCACTAACAGATAAGACATTTTGTACATGGTTAATTAAATGAAAAATTATTTTTAAATACCATAAGAACATATAATGATAGATAATAGTTATTGCAAATAATTATTTTATCTTTCTTCACTCCGTTTCTTTTCTTTTCGTTTATTTACGTATTTATTTCATTGTTTTCTTTTTTTTAAATATATTAACCATTTTATTTTTAAAATACAACAATTTCATTAACATAAATAATTAATTGAATATTAATAAAAACATTTTCATTACATTGGTATTTAATTTAAGGGGTTACATATCTTCATTAAAACTCATTATTCTAATAAAGTTTTAATTAAATGGCTAAAAATAATTATATAATAATCGTACTTAATTTTTGCTGACAAAAAAGTATGTAACCCCTTAATTATAATTTAAAAATTTATTGGTATACAATTTTATTACTGAAATATTTTAAAGACTACTCTAAAAATCCAAATTATAAGAAACCTAAAATTATTTGTAAATTAAAATTTAAAACTAAGCTGCAACGCTTATTATTTTAATGCCTTTAAATTTTCTGTGTTTAAGGTATTTGTTTTTCTAATCTATCAGTAGCAGTCTCTTGAATCAGTGTATGACATTTCGTTACAGAATTTTTAAAAATCGTGATGATCATTTCGTTGTTAATCTTTTATTTTCAAAAATACAAAAACGCTGAATTACTTATCAATATTTATTATATAAGGAAAAAAAATTCATTTTTTAAATGTTATCTATTTGTTAAAACTATTATTATTTAAATTATATATTAAACTTCAAAATTTCTATGCATTAGAAGTTGGTAAATAACAATAATAATTTATTTATAAAAATTATTGTTATATAATTTGTTTATAATAATAATAATTATAAAATTCTGATATTTGTAATTTGTGTCTTATTATTTTATTTTTTATTATAAGCTCTCTAAATATGAATCAGTGAAAAAGTCACTGGTCTCATATCAGTCGCTAAATTCTAGCTATTTGAATCAGTGGTTTTCACTGACAGTTAGTGACATTTCACTGGAGAATCAATTACTTTGACAGAAAATCAGTGAAATGTTACTGATTCAAATAGCTACACTCAAAAAAATAAGTAGTAGATTTGACTACTCCCAAGTGCGAAAACCAACACGGCCCAATATTGGCCCAGTATTGGCAACGGTGGCACCAAGTCTTGGCAGACAATATTGGGCCGACTCTTGTGGTGTTAACAGAGGTTGAACGTCGACAGCCAAGTATCAGACGTCATTACTGGGCCAATCTTGGCTGACATTAGTGGCCCAGTATTGTCAAAGTTAAAAAAAGTTTAAAAAATTGTAATAATTAATTAATTATATACATTTATAATTCAAGTCCTGACAGAAAGCACAATTGTTTAAACATTTGAAAATTTGTAACGCTCGCGGGAACCGAACTCGCAACCTAACGCATCGAAGTCTAACACGCTAACCACTACACTATACGCGGCTATGGGAATCTCAACACAAAAATGTTTTCATAAGCTGTATTTGAGGAACATTTTAGCCGTTAATGCACCATTACTGGGCCAAGATTCGTTCCAACTTTGGAAAAAATGACTTGTCAAAATAAATTCAACATTTCAGCCGACAATGAGCCAATAATGACCCAGTAATGGGACAGAGTTAGTCTCAATTATGGAAAAGTAGAATTACCAAGTATTGGTGCCAATATTGGCCCAATAATGTGACGGAGTTCGGCCCAATTATGCGAAAAATTGGAGTTACTAAAAATCGGTGCCAATATTGGCCCAGTAATGGGACAGAGTTCGGCCCAATAATGGCAAATTAGAGTAAACGAGAATCGGTGCCAACATTGGCCCAATAATGGGACGAATTGATTGCCAGTACTGGTCCAGTAACGTTTGCCATACTTTGGCAGACATTACTAGGCCAATGTTGGGCCTTATTGGCAGTCTTGGCATTTCGCACATGGGCTTTTTAACTACCCTGTATAGTACAATAAATCCTCAACTCAATTTTAAAAGTTGTATTAACTACTAAAAAGTAGTTAAAATAACTAAGAATGTAGTTGATATAATAAGATTTTGTAGTTACACTGTTAAAAATGTTTGTAGTTTTAATATACATAAAGTACTTAAATTTAAGAAACTGGTATATTAGAGTGTAATTCATATACAAAGTATATTAAATTTTGTCACTGAAAAAAATTCAAATAAAAAAATTGCATTTTACTCAATTTATACATGTTCTTCTGTACAAAATAAGGTTTTTATTAATAAAGCAAAGTAATTTCTTTCATGTAAATACAAGTTTAAATCAATTTACATTGTAAAAATGCATATAATTTGACATTTATAGTACTTAACCTAAATGTCACATATAAGTATTAAAATTCTTGTATTTAGAATGTTTTTTTGAAAAATTTTCCCCTTATAAAACATTATTTGGACATAAACAACACAATAGTTAAAGAATTACGCACTGTTGTTTCAATTTCAAATAAATTTTCAATATCAAGGAAATAATGACCGTTTGGTGAAATAGGCATCTACAGCCGCCATGTTGTCACTTTAAATTTAATATACATGTATCTTAGATTTCAATAACTGTAGTGCATATTCGCTTCATACGCATGTATATTAAATCTAATACAGATTTTTCTAACAGTGTAGTTTTAAATTCTAACTACATTTTTAAGTTAATTGTACTACTAATTTTTAACTTCTTAAGAAATAATGAAATTAACTACACAAACATTGTTAAACTAACTAAGAAAGTAATTGTTTTAACTTCTTTTCACTAAACTACCCAAAGGTAGTTGAAGATTTCGGAAAAATTTTTTTCAGTGTAGAATTTAGCGACTGATTTGAGACCAGTGACTTTTTCATTGATTCAAATTTAGAGAGAAGATTCACCGTAAATTTATGCTACTTGTCTGGAGGTTATCTCATAGATAAATTATTATGTAAGCATGCTGTGAATTCATTATCGTTATATTAATTTTATTGTTAATAATTTTATATAATAATAATTCACGGAGAGAAATACACGGAAAGAAAGTTTGTAGCAATATTTGATATTATGGTGTTACTTTTTAGTATATTTGGTTACAATTGCGGAACATTTTGGCATGATAACGATTTTCGATACTATCTTTAAGAATGATTGAGATTAAAATAAGAATATTTAATATAGTTGGAAAGAAAATTTGATATAATATTTACGAAATCTGAAATCTTTTTATTGAAACACAAAAATGTCAAATTTTAATAAGCTCTTTATCAATTTTTCTAACCAAATATTTCAAATTTCGTAATTAGAATTGTATAAAATGATATAATTATTTCAGATTTTGATATATTTGATATGAAAATTGAAAAAGAAATATCAAAGTTAACGAGATTCGACGAAATTTGCCGAAGTTGAACGTTCGGAATTGCCCGATCCTCACCGAGTGGTAACGAAGACTGACGAAGCTCTTTAGACAAGCCCCTTTTTACCATGATCTTGATACAGACCTGAATTTCTTTTATATAATTAATTTTGAATATTTTACAATAAATCAATAAAAAAAATTGTTCTTCAAAAAATAATAAAATATTTAATTATTTCCCAATAAATAATGATTTTTATTTATATTTTTAAACATGTTTTGATATAATTTCACCTTTCTCATAAGCGGTGAAAAATATGTCTGGTTAGTATATAAGAATGGTCACATCAGTTTTTCACATTAGCGTATATGAAGCGTTATTCTGCGAATGTTATACGTATTATCGTTAGTATAGGTTAGGAATAAAAATAAGCCAATCGATGTAAAACAATGCGGTGTATGTGTGTGTGTGTGTGCATTTAAAAGTTCATATCCTCGTCTATCCTCGAGATGAGAAAGAGATAAAACTTTGGCGTAGAATCTGTTGGTGTTTCTGTCGTCATCTGTCACGACTGAACCACTTCGAATTTTTAGTATAGTTTTAACAAATTTCGAAATAATCTTTCCAAATTTTCATATTTTAGTAAATAACGAAGTGCGCGTCGATTTAACTTACTTCTGGTTTTTCGTATAAATTTATCAATTTACGAAATAATAATTTCAATTTCTGGAATATATTTACTAAAAAGACTATTGGTAAAAATATACCGATTTTCGTTATCAAACCCAAATGTTCCGCGTTTGAAAAAGAGAATACTAAAATTTCCTATCAGATTTATCAAATATTGCTACTAAATTTCTTTCCGTGTAGATGGTAAGAACTTATGATCTTAAGATGGTAAAAAGTAGATGTTATCCGGTACCATCATTATGCTACTCGGTACTATCAAAGATGTTACAAAAAGTATGATTATGTTACCCACTACAATCCAGATATTACTCCGTACAATCTGGAAAGTAACTGATAGAATCTAGATAGCTGTCCATATATGTAAGATCAAATATGGTACCTGGTACTATCTAGATAGTACCCAGTATCATTTATTTCTCTCCGTATTATTAAATACATTAATAATTTTATTGTTATATATTAACAATAAAATTATTAACAATTACAAATTTAAAGAATTTAACTTTTTTTAATAGAAAAATTTAAATAAAGTCAACTTAAGCAAAGATTACACTATTTCTATAGTGATTACGTATATATATATATAGGTATCATATTTAGA